TTTATGGGTTATACCTATACTACTTAAGGGTAGTTACTACTAAACTTGTCTAGTTACTAAACTGTAGGTAAATAGAGTCGCATGGTGTGCTCGCCAGGCAGTTCCCATGGTGGAACTCAATGGGGTTTGGGTCAAGTACGACGTCCACAGCCGTGTCCTCAGGGCTGTGCCGAGACTCTTCTGGAATTGGCTAGCCGTGCCCGGCCCCTGTCAGATGATCCATACGACTGCCGGACGTGGCCGCGCCCTACCTTGCCTCAGCCGCAGCCACATTTGAATGCGCAGAAGGCCATGGAACCCTAAACCCTAAAACCCCCCCCCCCCCCGGTGACATCTGGAGGGGCGCCAAAGAGTCGAAGCCTTGAGAGGCCACCCCGCAGAACAGCGATGGTGAAACTACGGCTACCACTGCGACCACACGGTCGCCGCCAGGCAGCAAAGCTTGCAGGACCCAATGAATCCTAAAAGGGCTTAGGGTTCCTATACCTTCATGGGGAGAATCGTAGTAGAGGGTAGACGACCCCGACTTTTGGGGTTCATAGGGTCCCCAAGGAAGCATCACATCCGCTTTGCGCCTCTTTTGAGCAGCCCTAAACCATAAACCCTAAACCCTAAACCCTAAACCCTAAACCCTAAACCGGTGCAGACCTCAGGTCACAGTCGAACCTCCCGGAGGCCAGAGCGTAAGGGCATGGTTTGTTACACCTTGAACAACCTGAAAAAACCCTGTAAAATCCTACCGGGGACTCTGTTTACCTACAGTGCAGTAGTAAACCCTACTATTTCAGGGGTAGTTACTACTAACCCTTTATAAACCCTAAACCGCCTAAACCCTTTTATACACCCTCTAAACCCTAAACCGCCTAAACCTTTTGTAAACCCCATAAACCCTAAACCGCCTAAACCCTTTATAAACCCTAAACCCTATAGACCCTAAACCCTACAATTCTGCCAGACCTGACCTTCTGGCAGGCAGCCTCTTCCTCGCCGGTTTTGCCGGATCTGCCTCCTGCAGCCGGATCCGCGGTGCTTTGTGTTTCGGGGGTTGGGCTTAGGGTTTGGGGTTTGGGGATTGGGGGGATTGGGGATTAGGGTTTGGGTTTATGGCTTAGGCTTGAGGGTTCAGGGTTTAGGGCTTAGGGTTGAGGGCCCTAGGCCCTTAGAGCTGTGAGTCCATGGACCCTACCCGACCCAGAAGCCTTCAGACTTGGGGTCGAGTACCTTCGGTGCATGCCACGGTTTGGGGTGGGTGTGTTTTCTGTTTTTTTTTTCTCAGTTTGTTATTTATATATATATATATATATATATTTTTTTTTTTTTTTTGGGGGGGGGGGAGGGGGGTTCTGGGTTCGAAAGGGTATGTTTTTTTTTTGTTTAAGGTGCTTAGGTTTTCTGGTCTTCGGTTTCACGGGTTTGGGAGTTTCAGAAGCTTCGGGGATCAGAGGATTGAAGGGGTTTAGGGCTTCCGGCGTTTGGGCTCCAGAAGTCTTTTGTTTGCAAGGGCTTGCGGGTTGGAATCAGGTTTTTAGGGCTTAGGCGGCATGGTTCTAGTTGGGGGGGTATGTGGGCACAGATCCAGCAAGAGCTGACCATGGTGTTGAGCACGGGCATGCTCGCAAGCCTAAACCCTGGAAAGATAGTGCATAAACCACCAAAATATGCACGATTTGATGGCCCTTGATAAGTTTTTTTTTTTTAATTGAGGGTCCCGGTGCAAGTGTCTAGGGTTTAAGCATGTAAGAAGCCTGATGTTGATCGTTTAGTGTTTCTATTTCGTGCCCGCGCCCGAGGCTTCCACGGCTGTACGGTATCCGCGCCTGCTTGCACGAAAGCCGTTCTCCACACCCGAGGCCGCCAAGAAGGCCTCTCGGGATTTTAAATGGGTTAGGGTTAGGGTTTAGGGTTAGTATTTAGGGTTTAGGATAGGGTTTAGGGTTTAAAATTTAAGGGTTTAGGGTTTAGGGTTTAGGGTTGAAGTTTGGGATGAGGCTTCGGATGGCGCTGTCTGGGGGTGCGATGGAGAGCCTTGACATACGCAAAGGGCTCACCAACGCGAAGCCCTAGACTCTGCCCTAGACCCCAAGCCCCTACAAACCCTAAACTTGGGACATTACCCCATATACTGACAGTCCTTCATAGGGATTAGAATAGGGGTACTGTATTCCCTATGAAAGACACTTAGTCTCGGGGGGAACATCCCAACCCTAAACCCTCAACGACTTGCCGCGCCCTCTCCTCTCCAGGCAGCCGTGGGACGAGCGGTGCTGGAGCTTTTCCTGAGCCAGGGCCGAGTTTAGGGTTTAGGGTTAGGGTTTAGGGTTTAGGGTTTAGGGTTTAGGGTTTAGGGTTTAGGGTTTAGGGTTTAGGGTTTAGGGTTTAGGGTTTAGGGTTTAGGGTTTAGGGTTTGAGTCCCCGGAACTGCTTGGAAGATTCAAAGTCCCCTCCCCTCAGCCCCCCACAAAACCCCTACCTGGGACTCTCTTCACTTGCAGTTTCATAGTAAAACCGTCAGTTATACCTACTAATTAAAGGGGCAGTCTCTACGAAACTGTGGGTAAGAGTCGCAGGCATGCTGCCCTAAACCTTATGAGCTCTAGAACCCCCAAACTTGCCCTAAACCCTCTCACCCCAAGCCCCTGGAGTTCAACTTTGAAGAGTCACTGGACTCCCGCTATCCGTGGCTTGCGGAGGAACTCTTCGCACTTTGTCCCGGACCATTGCGGTGATTACTTTCAAAGCTTCAAGGGTCAGAGGGGTGGGGGCGGAGGTCCCAGACCAGGGACACCCACAAAAGGGGTTCTTAAAGAGTTGTAACATACCCAGACATATGAGGGGCACCCCTTGATCGGGGCATATCCATGCATCTAAAGACTCTTTAGGGGGCTTCTCGGCGGAAGTAGCTACACCAGGTCCATGGCCTGCGAAAACCTGGGAATCCTCAACTTGAAAGCTGGGGGAGGTCCATGGCCTTAGAGGTGGGGCCCACATCAGCCCTCAACCTTCTATAAGGCTTATAGAACCCCTTTGAGAGCCTACAAGGCTTGAGCCCTTCGCAGAGTTCAGCTGTGAACCGAGTGCCTAGCCACTGATCTCCCTCCGTTCGAATCGATTTGCACTAGTTGCGCGGGAATTCCGACATGCTGAAGCCGTCAACCTGAGATCTCTGCGCGAAGATGCTGGAAGGTGGTTGAAAACCGTACTCGTGCTGCGAAGGATGCGCGGTGCGCCCAACTGGTGGTTTTTGTAGGGTATGCTTGGGGCACGGCGACGGCATGTAGAACAAGACGAGGGTCGGATCAACGGCAGCAGGTCTTGTGTCGCTGTATGGGCTCTAGGGTAGGGTAGTGAGGGGTGGAGTTTGCCTGGATGATCCTAAATGCCAAAACCCGAATGGAAGGCGAGGGCGATATGGGAACATAAGCATCCTCAATCCCTCCTTCGGCATTTGGACAACGAGTGGAGCCCTTCTTAAGTTACCCAGGTTGTCAGCAGATTCGGGTCCGCAAGGTCCCAAAGTTCAAACGCCCTGTCTTTCAGAGAGCCATGGGCGTATCCTCCTTTCAGCCTGTGTGCGCGATGCGCGTGTGGTCGGAGGGAGAGCTGGACGAGGACCCATGGGAGAGGTTGAACTTTTGGGCTTGGGATGTTTGAGGTTTGGGATTTGGGGTGGAGGCGTTTCATCAGGACTCCGAAGCTCTGAAGTGTTCGTGCATCTGGCGCTTGGGGATCACTGTTTTTAGGCCTTCGTCTGGCTGACTTGTAGATGCCAAACAGGTGGGTTTCGGGGTGTGGGCTGTCGGGTGTCGGTTCGAGGAATTGCGCTGTGTTCTGGCTAACAGCTAGGTCCTGTGAGGTGCTTTGCCCAACTACCCTCGAAGTCCCTCTTCAGAATGCCGTCCGAAAGGGCTCGCACGCCTCATGGCGCACGGTTGTCTTGATAATTAATTATTGCCTCGCACCAGTGATCGCAGCAACTGGACACACATTTGCACAGTTCGAATTCGAGCAAGTCCCCACATCAAGCTCAGCTGCAAAGGCTGATGCAAATTAATTAGGAAGCCGCGTCGGGATCTCAAACCCTCCAAAGCCGGCAGGGAGCTGGGCCTGGGTGATGCCACAACTTGAGCGGCTTGTTCCAGGACTGTCTAGCATTGCGATCCGAAGCTCCATGCACTGTGAAGCCTTGCACTGCCACGTCTCGCCTGTTCTCATTCTCGGTCTCACGTCCTGTGGTTCGGGTTCTGGTTTCGGCCAGGACCCTCCGTCCAATGAAGATTCAAGATATCTGCTATCTGAGAAATCTGGCTTTGGACGCGGCAAGGCGGGGGCCATCAGCAACATGTCAGATGTTTCTATCTCCCAAGCGGCTCTTGGACTTTGGCTGCTGTGACAGACATGAGCTGGATGCTTAGGACGCCTTTTCATTCATTCAGGCCTCCTGCTGCCAGTCTCAGCCGTGTTTGCTACAAGGTCAGTTTATGCGACTTTCCACTGCCAGTAGAAGCATGGGACCGGTGCACCATGTAGCGGTGTGCTTGCTTGTGGCGCTGCCGCTCGTGATGTCAATCCCGGCAGAGCGACTTGGTTTCTTTAGCTGACGACCCTTGAAGGTGAAAAGTGCCCCAACAGTCTTAAGCTGAGACGTCCTGACTGTTGACCACCGCACTGCGGGTCCGAGAATGAGTTCCAAAGCTGAGCTCTATGCGGCGTCAAGCAGTATTCTTAGCAAGAGAATATGTCTTCTCACGCGCAGCCTGACACACGTGAATCCCGATGAGGAATGTCCAGGAACATGCCACAAACACTGGCCAAGCCCAGCCTAAGAGGTCTTCTTTTCTCAGGGCGCCAAGCTCAAGGATGCAAAGGCAGTGACTTTAGGGACCACTGCAGAAAGGACTGCGCAATGCAGGGTTTTGTAGAGACAACAGCACCCGCAACACAAGCGTGCGCTTACATACCGGCATGATCCGGCATGGCATGCATACACACACACACATGTCATGCACGAATTTGGCTGCAATGTGCAAATCGGTGCATTGTCGATGCGCCCCCTGAACGTCCCTGAACGCCAAAGAACAGCAGTACTTCTCTGAAAGAAGGAGCCGTGTTTGTGGTTTTCGTTTGCTAGCCGTAGTTGCAACTCCAGTGCAGCACGCCCGTTCAACTTAGACTTTAAATTTGAAAAGCTGTGCAAAGTCATTGGTGCGGTTATAACCAACCAGTTTTGGAAGGTTGGTTTTATTTGGTCTTGTTTCCAGATGGATCGATGGACCATTGAACTTTAAGCGTATGTGTGAGGTGGGGGCTGATCGACAGCTTCTACGAGCTGGACATGTTTTTGGATCTCCCTGCAGTGAAGGGATTGAAGCGTCAGCAGCAGAAACTCCTGGGGCAACATTTGTCCGCGGGAGACAAAGATGTCTTCTTGGACACATGTTGGACACTCTTCAAAGAGAACGACCCCAATTTTGACATAGAGGCGCTAGATGGCGATGTTCAGAAGAAGATGGGAGAGGACTTTGATTTCTACACATTGGTGGCTGAGATGTTTCGCAACAAGCCGCCGGTGTCCCGCACAGTTCTGCTCCACTCCAGCTGCGACACCATCAAAGGCAACTTGATTTCCATTTTCGCAGAAAACCTTTATGTCGACGGCTTGATCAAGGACCGCGCAACTCCAATGTTTGTAAAATCAGTCGCAGACTTCAGTAAGTGACTTTCAGCTGGCGGCCGTCTAGCCTATTTGTTAGTAAATAGCTACCCCAGAGCGACGCAGGACTGCCGCAAGGCCAATGGTGGCAAGGAGCTATCAGTTCTGACGGAGTTGCAGAAAAGGCATCCCATGACATTTCGCTTCGAGCGGGACCTGAAGAAGATTGACGTCACACGTTTGCATCGTTCCATGGGCTTCAGTGAAGCTGTGCAAAACGAGCTTCTTGTCCCTGGCGGAGAATTCCTGGTTGACCAAAGCCCACCAGAGGTTGACATTGGAGATGAAGCTCTGCGTGTCATCCACGCACATCCTCACGAGGGAATGTTTGAAGTCCGCGGAGCTAAGGCTCATCTCAGAATCTTTCTTGGGTATTCTCGGATACGGACGGGGTACTTGGAATATGCGAAGCAAAATGTGCAGTTTGCAATGAAGAAGGGAAGCGAGCTGCTAGCTCGCGCAGCTCCAAGGATTGACCTTTCTATTGCTGGCAATGAGGTGCTAAAGCTTTTGGGAAAGGGCCGTGCTCCGAGATCAAGAATGGAGCTTGGAGTAATGGGCGCAATGTGTCTGCTCCCCTCGTTCAGGTTGGACTTCGACGGAATGGAGAACTACTCCGACGCAGAAGACTTTGAGTTCGACGTGGTCGATCTGCACGCGGACAACTATGTGGCCGAGTCCTCCTACGAGGCCAGGGTAGCCCAACGCGTTATGTGTGTCGTGTGTAGACCGGGTCCTGCAAAGGTGGGCAGACGGACAGAAAGATAGAATAAGGCTCTTGCCGGAATTTGCTTTGAATTGCCTGTCTTTTGAAAACTCAGTATTGCTGCAGGCCTTTGGCATGGCTGTGATCATGGATGTGCCCTCTGGCAAGAGCCGTTGGGAGGGAGAACCAGACAGTCTTGACAGAGTTTTGCGAGTACGTGCATGGTTCACCGAGTCCATGGAGGGTGTGAATGCTGCCAACTTTGATTCTACTGTGTTCTTGTCGAAGCCCAGCCAAGATTTCTTTCAAGAACAGATGGAGAAGGAGTTTCAGCATGAGCAGCACCTTTTGCGGCGTGAACTCAGGCAGAACACAGTCTTGTTTGAGCAGATGACTGAGCGCATGCTAATCCGCGGAGCTCTTTCCAAGCCGGAAGAAGATGAACTTGCATCTGCTTTTCCAAGCCGACGAGATACCCTTCTAGATTTGGCATCGGAGCTTCAACTTCAGCAGAATTGGTCATCCATTGCGGGTGATGCTTTGCAAGATGCCCTCTATGAGAGTTTGGTCAACTCGGCAGATTTTTCCAGCGATGAAACAAAGGGCCCAATTGTGCTGAGCCGTATTTTGGATATGGTGCGGATGTTGGAGACACACGTGGCAAAGATGCAAGGCAAGAGCTTGATTTTCTTGGTTGGAGACACCGGGAGTGGCAAGAGCACGACTGCCAGCTACCTTATGAAAATCAAGCTTGAAGAAGAGAGAGGGCCCATGGGCCGCGCATGGAACCACAAGGACCTTTCCGGCCCGGCAATCAGCCCTTCGTGGTCAGCATCGCAGACCTTGTATGCCGAATCTTTCGTAGCCGGCGATTTGGGAAGCAGCTTCGCTATTGTGGATACTCCAGGCTTTGAAGACACCCGAGGGGATGCCTATAGGCTGGTGACTGGTCTCAGTCTGGATCGGGCAGTGGCAGTGGCATCATGCATTCCATCGCTGGTTCTGACTGTACCATATGCACTGATCAGTGAGAAGCGGGGCCAAGCCATGTTGGAGTTATTGGCAAAAGTGCGTGGCAGGTTTCCGAACATTCTGAATCCGGAGCAATTCGACGTAGGTCACGTTGACCAAGGCTTGCACATCATTGTGACCAAGGCCAACCGTCCCCATGCGGAGCAGGTCCGTGCGATTGAGACTGGAGCTTTCGCCAGGGAGGCGCTCAAGCACTGTTCGGAAAATTTGAAGCGCTTCGAGTCTTCGCCGCTGGACGCTCGGGTTCTGAAGGAACATTCCAGGATGTGGCAAACTCTGCATCTTCTCGCAGGCCGAAAGCGTATCCATGTGCTGGATCTGGGGAACCGGAAGCAGCGGAAGGACTTGTTGCAGAGCTTTATGCGGAGCAGACATGGTCTATGCACGAAACCAGATTATGGGACGACGTTTCATGACCCCAAGTCTCAAAAGGTGTTGGAAGTGTTTGTTTCCGTTGCGGCCCATACATGGCGAGGATTTTTCGGCAAGCTTCGGCAGAAATACCCAGACTGGATACGGCGGACAGAGAAACGTCTGGCTGAAGTCCAGCACGAGAGTGAAGAGCTGATGAAGCAGCGAGACGAGCAGAGGAGGAATCTAGCTGACACCCTTTCGAAGTGGCGGCAACTAAAGAAGGACTTAGGCACCGATGGAGGCGCGCCGGAAGACTTGCTCCATTTGTTGGAAGAGCAGGCCGCGCAGGATGTGGCAGAGGCAAATTCCTCGGCCTCGGCATGCGATCGTCGGCTGCGAGGCGCGCGTGATCGCTTGGCAGATGCAAAAGAGGACGCAAACTCGGTCCAGATAAACATTTCTGCGCTGCAGGCGCAAATTAAGAGGTTGAAAAGTGGAAGCACAGATGTGGATGTTTACAGCCACCAGTATGCTGGGACCATGGCTGTGGTGGGTGATTGCGGGGGTGAGACAATGGAACTGGCACTGGAAGCAGTGAGAGAGTGGAATTTTTCCAACTGCAAAAGCCGCCAAGAATTCGATGTCAGCACTTATAAAGGCACTCTGTGGCACTATGCTTACATTCCTAGGGGGTACCGGCTCATTCCTGCGGTCGAGGAACAGAGGAAGCGATTTCAGGTTCTGCTTTCAGAGGAGGAAACCTTCGGAAGTACAGTTGCCAAGGTTAGTGGCAGCAAGTACATGCTGCAAGCTCGCAAAGCCTCCCCTGATGGCAGAACCATTGTGTCCATCTTCGAGTTCCATTTTGATGCTTCACAGCCATATCCAAGTGTTCAGGTAGTGCATCGGATCCCGAACATCGACTTCAATGAAGCCAGGCTGCGCAACGCAGATGCCGAACTGACGGACTTGCTGTCTCGCAAGGCCGGGGCCGATGCGACCAAGTCCAGTGCCCAAGAAGAGGTGGAGAGCTTGGAAACAAAGTGTGCAGGAGAAAGGAGCAAGGTTGACGAGATTATTTTGGCGGGCAAGCTGAAGGAAGTTGACCAAAGAATTGAATTTTCAGAGAGGCAGCTGACGCTGTTTGCAGAGAGCGACGGCGCATTTCAAGCCGACAGGGCTCGGCTTCTAAACGAGACTTCGGCATTGACAAGGGAACTTTCCGAGCTTCGGCGAAAGCATGCACAACTCGCTTTCACCATCAAGGGCTTCTACCACAAGGTCGTGCCTGCCCTGGTGCAGATGTCAGAGTTTGTGCGGAACATCTTGACTTCCGGCGCCGTCAACCGCGATGTCTTCCAAGAGCTCGATTCTTTCCTGAAGGTGCACGCAGAAGCGAACCCAAGCGGGATGAAAGAGCCAGGCATCTTAGTGATGGCTGGAGACGTGCTTGCCCAGTACCGCAACATCTCCTCTGGAGTGATGCTCTGAAAGCAAAGTAGGAAGAGCACGAGTCGTGAGTAGGGAAGGATCGCCGTTTTTGAGACACGCCCTCGACTTCACGGAAAAACAAGGAAACAGTGTGCGGATCGATTGCATTGGCTTTGTTGCTTCTGCGGCAGTGTTTGACACAGGCACCCCTGAAAAGAGAGTTCAAGAGCTTCTGCTCATGGAAGCCGTCCTGGATTATTCCCTGTTGCGCGTTTAGCTTGATCGCTGCAAGGTCGCTTTGGAAAACCGCGAGACGAGGTGCTGCAGCCGAGTCGGGGTAATATCTGTGAATGTGCATGAAGCCGATCTCTTTATGCAGTATAGTTTCGTTGTTAGTCGTGTTGATTGATACATGGGGACTGGCTGGTGCAGAGAAGAGACGTTTGCCACTTCTGGCCACTGAGCTGCTGCCACGCCGCCCCTTGTCAAGATGGCCTCGCGGGATCCTCTTGCACCTGAAACCGGATATCGTTGTGTGCTAGGATTGTTTTTGTTTTACCAGAGGGTTAGTATGAGCAGCTGCTTACACAAGTGTTCCTTCTCATTGCGTGGGAGGAAATGGGTTGCATGTTCACTGTCACTCAGCATGAGCCATGTAATGTCACTTGAAAATGATGTCCTCAAGGCTAGGCCTTGCTGGGGACTACGCCTGCGGCTGGGGGAGCTCCTGCCTGCAGTAGCTGATCGGCACTGCCAGACAACTTGTATGTGAATGCGAAAGGTTATAGGTTATAGTTACAGGTGTAATAAGAAGCCATGCCAACATCATGACGATGAGTGATGGGATCCTCGCAACTCAACGGAGGTGATTCGTTCTGCTGACTCTAGGTCACGCTTGCGTCTTGTCGAGATCGATTGAACAAAGCTTCAAGCTTTTATGGCGACGCCTTCCTGAAAGCCTCTTTCTCTCAACTCTCCCTGCCGAATATGATGGGCTTGATCTCCGAACCCTCCTCTTGAGTGAATGACGTGGTTGGTGCCCAGCCGGGGCTGGAAGTTGCAGGGCCTCTGCTGCAGCAGGTGCCATGGCACCGCTTAGCAGCAGAACTGGAACAGGAGAGATCACGCAAGGAAGCTTGAGAAGGAACAGCCGTCTCCTGCAGTAGTTTTCCATAAAGCATTGGCAACTTGGAACCCTTCGTCGAGCCGAAAAGAGACATCCGGCGTGGCTCGATTTGCACAGCGCTGCTGCAGTTTAGTGACGTAGCATGTCTCAACTCCTTCCAGTCCGAAGAGCCCAAACGCTCAAACCCTACGCCCGAAACCGCTCAACTTAAGAGACCGAACTCTGAAACTGGGCCATTGGGAACATTTACCCAATACGAACATCCTTGTAGGGGTTTCTGGACGCAAGCCTTTCTCCAGTTCGTTTAGTCCCCAGAGAGCTTCCATTCTCCGTTGGAGCTCAGCAGAGCTGTCTCAGCAAGCAGCGGGCTGGGCGCGTGAGCTTTCTTGCAAGCCTGCTGCAAAGAGGGGTTCACGGAGTTGGGGATTTATATAACTCATGGGCCCTAATGGGGGGGTACCCTGACATGCAGGGCTCCGTCTTAGAATGCTCAGGCCATTGCTCCTTGAAATCTATACCCGACTTAGCCCAATAGCCTCGCCTAGCGAACGCGTAATCTCGACAGCCAGATCGTGCGTGCAACTTGCAGCAGTCTTACGAATTTGGGCCCACCTGTAAGCTTGCAGCCTCATCAACAGCAATTCAACACACTGCCCATCCTTGTCCCTCGTGAGCGGCGTGCGTTGGGACGGGGCACATCAGGAGTGCCAGCGGTCGAAAACCTGTACGGAGAGCAGCTCTGGGGTGGTGGATGCCACATATGCGCTTGTGGGACGTTTTGCCGTCGTAGTCCTGCAGTTGCCGCGCAGAAGCAGAATGGTTGTAGTTCCATGTCATGAACGAGAGTAGCGAAAGCACTTGAATCAGCCGATGCCAAACAAGTACTGGTACTCATCCTTCTCCATCCTTCTCCAATCTCTTATGGCAGTGCATGGGGACCTGGTGGTCCGGTCTCAGCGAGTTGATTGTGCAGCATGCCATGCCACAACTTTTTGTGTTGCAATATCGCGCAACACCCCGCAGAACCGTCAAGCCAAAATCCGCAGCTGTTCGTCTTCCTCTGCACCAGGCCTGCATGACATGGATGCCTCCCAACGCGCTACTGTGAACCCGTCTTACCCTGCATCATCTCCCGACCCCGTGCAGCTACCGCCTCATATATGGAGGAGAAATGGCATAAGACAAGTCCAGCTCACGACGCCACGCCTTGGCCTCATGGCAAGCGACAGATGTCATGGCGCTGTCGCGTGATGCCGAGTTGCTGGCAGGCCTGTCGCATGTCTAACCGTACCTGGAGGTTCATGGGTACTTCCCCAATTTTATCCCTACTTACAACCTGAGTTAGGGGGTTTATAAGTGCAGTTAACAGTTGGGGTTAGAAGTACCCTGAAACTCCAAAAAACGGCCAGGATTCCAAATGGCCGTCGCAATTCCTTTAGGATTTATAGGGTTGGGATGTAGGATGTAGGGTTTAGGGTTCAGGGTTGAGGGTTTGGGGTTTTGACACAACTAGCACATGTACATGTAATCTTGTCCAGTGATGCATTTGCCGTTCTGATTGCCTCCTACTTCGTTCAGTGTACCTTCCCCATCGCTGTTAGTAAGTGTGGGGTTCCCTTTAAACGCTCAATGTCCCGCTGCCAAGGGTGGGTTTGTTCGTTCTACTTCGGAACACAAGGGGAAACTTAGAGTTTGTTTAAATCTAAGCACCTGCCCAAAGCCTGGTTTGGCTGCCTTACCTCTGCGAGCACACTTCCAAACGCCAGCCCGAACACGCCAAACATGCCGCACATACATATGTTATTTTGAAGGCGTGGCGGCACAGAGTCTGAGAACCGGTTATAGATGATACTTGATCCCAAATACATGATTGAAGATGACGAACGAAAGAATGAGAATCAAGCACGAAGTAAACAACCAGCCTTTCCTCTCCGTGGCTTTCGTTTTCATCGTCAGTTGGCAATGTTTTCTTTGACCAACAGCCCCACCACGGGACTGTAGCATTGGTACCCAGGGCAGAAGAAATTGAAGTGTTTTCAGACTGCAAATCCAAAGTAGGTACGATTGTTTACATGCTTGGAGCTATACACTTGGAGGCCAATTTCAATAGTAAGCATGGTCACATTCACGGCAAACATCAGGGTAACTTTCATCGTAGTTAATACTACTAGATGCTAAGAAGAATTCTAATAATTGTGGTGGTAGCAATCATAGTTATCATCAATCATCGTAGGAGTCATTTTAGCAGTCATTGTAAGTAGTCCAACTAGTCATCATAGTAATACTGTAAGAGAAATCATCGCAGTAGTAGTACAGAAAGAAACACGCTACGAGCTCTCGTTGCGAGGCCCCATGCCCTTGTCCAGAACAGAATTTTCTTGGTTATGTAGCACACCTGCATTGCGTCTCGAAAAGGAATAGTAATAATGGTTGGTGAGGATAATACTAAAAAAATAGCATTAATTGCAGTAAAGTTGCTGGAAACATGTTGGGTAGGGATACTGACAAAATCAAGCAACAATAGCAGTAGCAGCAATAGTAGTCATATTTGGTAAGGACAATAAAGGGCAGGAAGAGCAGCAACAGTAATAGAAATCATATTTGCTAAGGATACTCCGAAAGTATGCAAGAATTACAGTAACAGTAATAGTAATATTTGGTCAGGGCACGCCCATGCCCCGAGGCCTCGCCAAGGAGCTGGAGTTGAACGGCGGGGGCGCTCCCGCCGGCGGGGCTTGAAGAAGGGTTTAGGGTTTATAGGGTTTAGGGTTTAGGGTTTAGGGTTTAGGGTTTAGGGTTAGGGATTAGGGTTAGGGATTAGGGATTAGGGATTAGGGTTTAGGGTTTAGGGTTTAGGCAAGGCTTTGGGTTTCGGGCTTGCGGTCTAGGAGTTAGGGACTTCACACCCCCGAACCTGGTCAGCTGGCAGGTGAGCTGCTGCTGCACAACCGGCAGCTGCGGAAATGGCTAGGCAGGGCTCCAGGACTGTGGGATGCCCCAATACCACGCTTCGGCAAGAATCCGCAGCTAGTTTCGAAGTGGGGGCCAAACTTGTCGGTCGTGTTTGGAGGATTGGGGAAGCACCTTGTGAACCCTACGGGCCCGACGAGTGTGAGGCCTGAGGCAGACGTCGTTCGCATGAAAAACACTCGTACGACCTTACTCATCGTTACTAATCACTGTCAACGAGTGCATTGGTGAACACCTCACGGTTTGCGAGAGGCGATCGCAAACTTCTGAAGTTCATCGCGGAGCACCCCAAGGCGTTTCTTTGCAGCTGGGTGCTGCCGCTCAAGAACCTCACACTCAATCCTTAACCATCATTAAAACCGTAACTCCCTACTTACCTCAGAATATCCCTCGAAACCACTGCACTGGCAGTCTTGTAATATTGTGGAGGGACCGTGAGTCATGAGGGGCCATTTGGAGTCAGCGTTCGACTGCGGGCGTACTGTAGCCTGCGGAGGTTTTCCGCGTCGAGAGCACTGGCCATCAGCAACTTGTTCTCGAACTCAGCACTCTATGTGTTGAGTCAGCGAGTCTTGCCACGGAGTGCACTGCTAGTATACAGCGTAGCTGTGATGACACGATGGCCATACATCAATGGGAATTCGACTCAGAACCCGTAAGCCGGAAGCGTACGTGGAATTGAGGTTTGTGCTTTCATGGCAGTGGCGTGTGTGGCTTCCAGCCCTAAGCTCCACAGAATTAGGCACTTCTCCCTCAATCCCTTTGCGCGTAGCTCACGTCACATTGTCCCCGAAGCCAAAGCGAAGCTTGTACGATAACTCAGGGGGTTTAGGGGAAGTTTCCTGGGGACCGATTCTACCACGTGAGGCTGTAATTGCTCTTGATTTTGGAACCACATATCTGCCTGGGAGTTTAGTAGTAACTACCCTTAATGAGTACGCATAATTAACCCATAAAACTGTAGACCTACGCTCCGGGGCTACCTCCACACCTCTTGCTGGGTTGGCCCTTGGGGATATTACTTCCCCCTATCAGGGTCAGAACTAAGAAAAGTCCTTCTTTCCGAGGGTTTGAAGGGCCCTCCTAGGACGCCCCAAGGCACACCATCTTCCTGCAGCCGGACGCCCCAGCGCACGCTCCCACTCCGGCCTGCGACGGACCGTCTGCTCGAAAAGGCAGCTTGAGGGTACCGGAGGTTCCAGACCCTTTCCGAACATGTGGATTCTACATCCCTGCAGAACCTAAACCCTAAACCCTAACCCCTAAACCCTACACCCTAAACCCTAAACCCTATATCCTAACACAATTCGTCTGCGAGGCTCTCCTGATTCCCCAGGGCGCTGGCAGTGCAGCTCCTGCACGAGCTGCTTCTCAACCAGGACAGGTTGGGTTTCAGGGCTTAGAGTTTCAAGGGCTTAGGGGTTAGGGTTTGAGTAGGGTTTAGGGTTTAGTGTTTAGCGTTTAGGGTGTAGGGTTCAGGGTTCAGGGTTTAGGGTTTAGGTAGGGTTTCGGGTTAAAGGTGTGGAGTGTGACTGAGTGTAAGCCATGAGTGTTTGTCCTCTCGGTCCACTTCCTGCCTCTTGGCTGCACCGGCTAGGCCTGCAGTTCAGGGTTTAGGGTTTAAGTTTAGGTCTTGTTTTGCATCGTGCGTTGCTCATGGCATGTGATTGGCCAAAGAAAGATGGGGCATTATTTCATGTGCAGACTGAGGTTTGCATGACTCATAATATACTTGAATAGGGATTCGGGGAGTATGGGGTAGAAGACCCCAACTTTAGCGCTCAATTTGTTTGTCCCCAAGGCAACTCACCCTAAACCTTAAACCTTAAACTCTTTAGGAACCAGCTTTTCGCGCACCTGGCCGCTGACCACGGCCTTGTGCGTGCGAGCCGCCACGAGGCCGTTCTTGAGTGATGGTCTTAGGGTTTAGGGGTTTAGGGGCTTAGGGGTTTAGGGGTTTAGGTTAGGGGTTTTATCAAGGGATTCAGACTCGTACCCCTAAGGTTGTACCCCTGAAGGGTCCTAATATGGCCTTGATACTACCTTAAGGATCCTTTAAAAGGGTCCCACAACCTTAAGCCCCATAGAAACGGTGCAGGGCTTTTAAAGGTTTAGGGTTTATCAGGTTTATAGGCTTTAGGCTTTACAGTTGCCAAAAAGGGGTTTAGGATGAGGCAGACGGGCCTTGGAAGCCTGTACCCCGTAAAAACCCTGATCGAAGATGTTTTTCACATAGTTGCCAGGAAGAGGTGAAGCCAGTGAATGTCAGGGCGTGAGGAGTCAGATAGTTTGAGAGGTTCTACTAGGGTCAAGCACATTCGTGTTTGTTTGGGAGGCTCGATGAAAGGAACTGCCCTACTGTATGGTGTCAACACACCGACGCGCTGTGCAGGACATGCGGCCCACTAGATGCATTGTCGCGCATTTGTTTGCAGTTGTGTTTGGAAGCCAGCTTTTGGTAGAAAGATTCATCGACCTGCGTGCCAGATCATTCTTGCCATGCGGCTTGCACCTTCCAAGCAATTCGCCAATACCCTAAACCTCAAACCCCAATCCGGAGGGGCTGGCTCTTTCTTGGTGTAACCCTGACACCTCCACTGGTTATTCAGCCGTGGCGTATTCATCTTGCCCAGGGTAGCCATGACAACCCTTTTTCAAACACAATTTCGCTGCATCACTCAGACTTGGAATCCCTGCGGAGTGGTTCGTCCAGCTATGCGGGTGCCGAAACCCCAATCCGCTAATAATTCCAAAGCACCACAATCCATACAAGCCCTAAACCCTAAAACCTTACAAAGCCCAACCAGAGGCCAACCAGAGCCCGTTGCCCTTCCCTCCAGGTGCCCAAGGCTGCGGAAGACCGCAGATTTGCCGCAACGGAGGCCAAGGCGCATCAGTCTGTGGACTTTGGGGTTAGGGTTTAGGGTTTAGGGTTAGGGTTTATAGAGCTTAGGGAGGTTTCTGGGCAGGGGGTTATAGAGCGCTTAGGGTTTGTGGGTGCTTCGGGTTTAGGAGGGTTTGGGGGTCGTTTTGGGGGCCCTTGAGGATTTGAACGGTGTATAGGCATTGACTTGCAGGTGGCACAAAAGTATGGGGATTTTGGCAGGGTCGGTCGCGTTTTTGTTGAATGCTGGGGTGTTTGGCTTTAGGTCATAAGATTCTTGAAGCTGTGCAGGCTTCGGCGGTTCTCGCGTGCTAAAGTTTCCTGGAAGCGTGTAAGACGTCATCATGGGAATTGAGGCGCATGCCTTCAGATGTGGGCAGAACATCAGCTTGTCGTGGCTTCGGATGTGCATACTCCTGGACCCTGGACCCGAAACCCGAAATTTCCCTACTACCCCCCTCTATACAACCCCCCATAGCTTCCCCCCTTAAATAACCTTAATTAGGCTTAATTGTCCCCAAAGAGCCTGAGTTTTTTTTTTTTGGGGGGGGGGGGGGGGGGGGCACCTAGAAAAAGGAGTAGAGGAATCCATGATCCTAAGAGAGCACCTGCAGGAGCTGCAACGCGAGCTGGTGGCCGGGTTGCGCTACGCATCTTGGCAAGCATTCCGGAGACCGCAGCGCCAATCGCCAAGAGAACCCCCGCGCCTACGTGCAATTTTCGACTTGGTAGCCCAGTGGTACCCTTTTCCCTTTTTTGGGGTTCAAGGTTCCCTCATAAAGTAGCCAACATAAAAAAGGGTGCCCTTGTTAGAATATGGTTCCTGGGCTACTAAGTTGAGAACCGTTATAGGAAGATCTTTGAAGATGGTCATCCGTCCCCAACTAACCGCGTGCATTTCTAAAATCAGCCTGATAGGATTGCTCGGTAAAGGCGGGCATTTCAAAAAAGGAGGCACCCCAACATAGCTCAACATACTAAGGAACTCCCCAAAACGTCGGTTTTGGGGTTCTTAGGGCAGTTTGCAACAGTTTTGAGAGCTGGCCGGCAAGGTCATGGCATCTCGTGGCAACGGGCAGCTCGGTATGGGTTTAGAGGGTTTATGTTTGTTTGGGTATGTACACCTTACAGGGCTTATCGGGTTTTGACAGCAGGGTGTATCTTGCCTACAGACAGTGTGAAGTTAGGATTCACAGGCTGCAAAACCCTGCTTGGGGAAGCTACCCTAATCCCCGTACCCCGTAGGAAGCCCTCCGAGAAAACCCCAGGAAAGAGCCGGTTCGATTGGACTGGGTTGCTACGGTGCCCCGGGCGCGCGGGGCGCTGACCCGCTGGCTGCGCGCAGAGGTTGCTGGAGGCTGATTTGGGGTTTAGACGGTTTAGGTATAATTTGAGCGTCTGTTCTGAAAGATGGTTTTTTTTGGGTAAGAGCCATAATTCAGAGAACGTCATTTAGGTTGACGAAGATTTAGGACTTAACAGGCTTAGGATGCAAGGTTCAGGTTTCATGCGTGGCATGGGGTCCCGATAAAGCCTGACAGTTTTTGAGTTTTGGGGACTTCAGATGTTTCCACTTTGCTAGTTGAGGGGTTTAGGGGCCTAGGCTGTATAAGATGCAACCGGGCTCAAGAACCCAAAGCCTTAAACCCGCAACCCTAATCTGATGCAACCTGGCTTAAGAACCCGAAACCTCAGGCGCGGCGCTGCCCAGCCACGCGGCGAGGTCAGAGGAGTGGTGGAAGGTGGCCATTCCTCAGCTGATGCGGTTTCTGCAGGAGCAGATGGGTGCTCTAAGGGGTTCAGGGTTGAGGGTTGAGGGTTTAGGGTTTAGGGCTACCTAGGGTTGATTTGTAAGGCTTTAAAGGCTTTAGGGTTGTGATTCGGTGATGGACCCCTGAACCTCAAGAAGAGCCCTGAGTGTTGAATCCCCGAGCCTGGACTCTGGCATGCATTGAAGCCCCGACCGACAGATCGAATGTCTGGTAAACCATTTAGGGTTCAGGTTTAGGGTTCAGGGTTCAGGGTTCAGGGTTTAGGGTTTAGGGTTGAGGGTTTAGGGTTTAGGGTTTAGGGTTTAGGGTTTAGGGCTTTAGGGTTTACCCTAAACCCTAAAGCCAGAGTCCCTATTGTGTCATTGACACTTCAAGTGCACCGGCGCCCACGGACATCTCTGAACCCTACAAAGCCTTTAACCCTAAACCCCCCATGGAGTCGTCTGCCCTAAACCCTAAACCCTAAACCCTAAACCCTAAATCCTAAACCCTAAACCCTAAACCCTAAACCCTGAACCTAAACCCTGGGAGGAGCGCCCGGATATCTTCGTAGTTGGGCAACTCGGTGGCGAGGAGGCGACTGGCTGGCACTGCTGCACACAATTACACCCTACAGGTCCATTTGCCTATTTCTGTTCACGTGGGCTTTAAACGGGATTCCTAAATATAGTAGCTCTATAAATGGACTATATATATATATACATACATATATATATATATATATGGGTTCATGGACCCTTAGGGACATGCATGAACGCATAGAGGAATTCACAAGACCTAAACCCTAAACCCTAAACCCTAAACCCCAAACCCTAAACCCTAAACCCTAAACCCTAAACCCTATAACCCTATAACCCTATAAACCCTAAACCGTGATGGAGGCCATCCCCGGGGAGTGCAGACTGCGCCGGACGCGCATCGCGCTCACCGGCGCGGCGCGGCCCGGCAGAGGGGCTCGAAAGGACCCTCGCAGACCTTGGGGGGGCGAAATGAACCCTAAACTTGGGGGCCATATACCCTCTACTACTGCAACCCTATAGTTACTACTGTAACTCCTATTTAAGGTAATATGAATCCTAAACCCTCTTAGGGTTCATTTCGTCCCCAAGGAAAGCCTACGGCTTTATGATGCTCCATGTCTTCTCCAGGCCCCTCAAGCACCCCCCCAAGCTCCTGGCAAGAAGTGCTTGAGATGGGGATCCTTTGTTGGCAAGACGAAGACTTCACCCCCTCAGCTCCCGATACCATCACAAAGTAATTTTCAAAAAGTGATTGCCCAGCCGGCCTAGCCATATTCATTCTGGTGGCAGCTCTCAGCCTACGGGCTGGCGAAGCCAAGGTGGGATGATGCAGAGCGGCTGGAGCGTGAGAGCCAGGCTTGTGAGGGTCTCGAGCCCTTTCTTATATCGGGGTGATGTGCGCGAGTACCAACCTTGGGGATCAAATGAACCCTTAAAGGGTTCATGTTTCATCTGCCTTAAAAGGAATCAGCTATAGCAGTATAGGATATGGTATATAGCAGTCCATGGTATCTGGCCCCAATTGCGGGGTTCATTTAGTTTTCAAGAAAAGGGTTCATGCTAGAATGGTTTTGGGTCAAAGCGAGGCCTTATGGATTCAAGCTGAGCGCTGGACCCAAATTTCTGCTGCGCGACGTCAGTCCAGACGGTCTCTTGACTTTCAGGCCCTCCCCTCTACTCGCTCTCGCTCGACAAGCTTCAAGACCCATAATATGGAGTAGAGTTTATGCGTGGGTGCAAGTGTAGATATGAATCCTTATCGATATTGGAAAGTGTATATATGCATATATTTATGCACTATGTATATATGTATATACCTATGTATGTCTGGAGGTGAAGGTAACCACATAATATTCTTGCATGATACACGAACTATTGGACAGAGGAACTATTGCTTGGATGGTTCGATGTAGTTTTTTCATTTGAACATAACTCAGTCGAGGGCTTACCACTTTGTCCCCCGAACCCCAGTATTCAATCCCGAACTCCCCTAGCCCTTTTTCTGGACGAAGTCAACCCCGGAAGGGTACAGGGCTTACATACCCTGATAGAGATCTTCATATACCCTACTAGGATGTCCCCTACACCCTACTCCCCCAAACCCTAAACCGAATAATTCGTAGCATCTATCTTTCCCCCCCAAACAGGCATCCTAAAACCCCTTCAACCCCCCTAAACCGAATAGTAGCATCTATCTTTTTCCCCCCCAAACAGGCATCCTAACACCCCAAAAACCCCCCAGAAAGCTTGGGCCCAAAATCAGCCAGGAGGCGCTCATCTCCCGCGTGGCCGTGGTGCTGAGGTCGCTACAGGCTGGGCCCCGGATATGGGTTTAGGGTTTGGGGTTTGGGGGCCCTGGATCTTTAGGGTTAGGCTTTCCAGGGTCGTTTAAGGGTTAGGGTTTAGGGTTTTGGGGCTTATAGGGTTAGGAAAGGTGTCGCAAGGCTTTTGGGCTTTGGGTCGAGGATTTGGTTAGGGTTTTGGAGCTTTGTCGAGTTGCTAGTCAGGTAGGAGCAGCAGTTCAAGGGGTTTGGGGGGGCTTTGAGGATGTGGGTTGTAGGGTTCAGGATTGAGACCCTGGGAGAGATCTCTTCATCGCATCCTGGAAGGGATACTCATGTTTTTTTTTTTTTTTACAGGGGGTTTCAAGAGCTTGTTTCTGATAGGGTGGAGGGAGTCCGAATTCTGGAGTAAGTTGAGTATTCTAGAGCAACATGATCCCAGCTTTTTTTGGGTTCATTAAGCAGTTGTTCCTAAGTAAGGTTCCATGAGCTTCGGCAACAGGGATGATGCGTTTGCCCACCATGACACGCGACGACCGAGTTTCACAAGCAGGTTCCAGGGTCCCTGTTATGAATCGGAGTAGATATGGATATATGTATAATATATATATATGTATATATATAGATATATTTCTGTATTTATTTACATATATATTGTCTATGTATAATATTCATTGGAGAGGTGCACACCATGCATCAGATCCGACCAGTCGAGGCAGATCCGCAAAAGAAGCGCTTCCGCTCGCAGCTGCTCTGCGATGTGGCGCAGGTGCCATGGACCGGGGGGTTTAGGGTTTAGGGTCTAGGGTTTAGGGTCCCATGGGAGTCCGGATGCAAAAAGGGTTTAGGGTCCACAACAACTCACCAGAAACAAGTCAGGGGTGTGGGGTCCGAGACTAAATAAACCGTAAAGGGGTTCATTCAAGGCCAAGCCTCTAGTGAGGGTTGGAGGCGTCATCTGCGCTTCAATCACCGAAGAGTTTCCTGGAGCCCCCGGCCGCTCAGTCCCGTATAGCTGCACACATATTTAGGTGAGGATACGTCAGGGCTGACGGTTGTGCTGTGAGAACATATGCTTCTGGAGATCCTTGGACCATATACCTTAGTAGGGATTCGAGTATGGACGCGACTTTCTTAGACACCTCTGCAGTAATCCCCGCAGTGTCCGCGGTTTAGGGGGAACCAATAGAAACCTATCACCCACATGGCCACATCACTCACCAGGATGCAGGTGTCCAGCGCCTACTTAACGGCCGCCTGCTCGCGAGGGTCTTGGCCACAGACCCCAGGCCTGCTCCGTTGAGGGTTTAGGTTTTATGCATAGGGTTTAGGGTTTAGGGTTTAGGGTTTGGGGTTTAGGGTTTAGGGTTTAGGGTCTAGTGCTCCTGCCCCCAGCTGATGAGGACAAGAGTTTTCGTTTACACGAAATAGGGCTTTGATGTTCACTCTAGGTCTGAGTCGTGGAGTAGGGCAAGAGGTGCGATTGGCACCTCCTTCCCTTTATCACTGACTTGCTGAAGGCTCAACCCTAAGCCCTGTCTGAATTGGGCAGCCGCAGGCGTGAGTGAGAGCCTTTCTGACTTGTGCAGCTGTCCCTAAGCCTCAACCCTGTAACCTAATCCCTAAACCCTAAATGGGACACTGGAAGTCTGTCCTGCCGTCGCAAGAGTGAGCGACGAAAACCCACGGCCCGTCCCGTGTGTGAGAGTGAGCGATGAAACCCTTCAAGGGTTTCGGGCTAAGGGTTTCAGAGTTTAGGATTTGTGGCTGCTACGACACTTGATGTGTACGAGGCTTTCGCTTTGGATTTCTCCTCAATTGAGACCGATTTGTGTAGTCAATTTGACTTAGTCATGCTTACTGAGATATGTTCTGATGATATGGTTGATAAGGTCAGGACGGTCCTTGAGTAGCCACGAGTGCTGCTGTAAGGGAGGTCCTTAGTACCCGGCTGGCTGCAGAGACCTGGTTGCAAAAAAGGATTTGTGGCTCACCTTAAGAACCTCCAAACCTACTTGTTTGTGGGTTATTGCCATAAAACTCCTTCTAGGATTCTTAGGTAACCTATTGTTTTTGTAGGTTTTGGGTTCTTAAGGCAGCGTTTAGGGGATGTAAGGCCTAAACCCTAAGCCCTATACGCCCTAAGCCCTAAGCCCTAAACCCTGAACCCTGAACCCTAAACCCTAAACCCTAAACCCGAAACCCGAAAACCCGAAAACCCGAAAACCCGAAAACCCGAAAACCCTAAACCCTAAACCCTAAACCCTAAACCCTAAACCCTAAACCCTAAACCCTAAACCCTAAACCCTAAACCCTAAACCCTAAACCCTAAACCCTAAACCCTAAACCCTAAACCCTAAACCCAATCCATGCGGGAGCGAAAAAAACCCAATCCTGGTAGGTTCGAGCTAGACGAGGACGCCAAGCACGGCACGACCGTGCGGCTGCTGGACGCCCGTTCGCCGCTAGAGCGAGGCCAGGAAGGCCATTTAGGGTTTAGGGTTTAGGGTTTAGGGATATTGCATATTTTCCCTTATTGTGTTTTAGAGGATTATGATGCGTTTAGGGTTTAGGGTTTTGGGAGGTGGGATGTGTTCCCTCCTATGTTGTGTTCAAGAGGATCATGATTTAGGTTTTTTTTGTTCAGAGGGTTGTAAGGGCCATTCTAGGAGGTGACCCGCTTCCTAAAACTCCGCGTGTCAATGTGAGAAAAGAAGACCTGTACCCACAAATCGTCTTTCTTGTCAGAAGTAGGCATGACGATTTGTTTAGGGACTTTAGGGAGTTTAGGGAGTTTAGGGTTTAGGGATCAGGGTTTAACCCACAAAGCCCTGACCCCCTAATTCGCTCTGAAGGTGGTTGTTTTGGGTGGGCTCTTGTTCCTTCGCGGACAATCTTGGGACATTCCTTCGGCACCAACTGTAACTCTTGTAAGAATTGGGATCCTCCTCAACAACCCTATGCTACCATAACCCGCAACCTTCAACCTATAGGGGGCTCCTGTAGCCCCCAAGTCTTATTAAGTTAACTCAGTTGATTTTGTTTCAGGTTGACTTCTGTAGCATTTCTTGCTGCACCTTATCTCTCCTTCTTGGTGGGCGCTCCATACCTCGATTGGCAACGGGGTGCTGTTGCCATACCTCGGTTTGTTGGGAGAAGCTCCGATGGAGTTGTCAAAGATTGGGTTCTTGTCCGGTTCCCCCTTCCCCCCCCCCCCCCCCCCAAAGACTGCACCGTGTTCAGAAAAAGCCAAAGCGGTTTCTCTACACGTGCTTTAGCCTCCGGTCACATTGACATGTAGACATCCAGCTGCGCTGACCCTGTAGGCCCTAAACCAGCTGGAAATTCACCTGTAGACCCTGAATCCAGCGGGTCACGGCTATCTTCCTAAGCCCTATACGTCTGAACCCTACAAACCCTAAAGACCCCAACCCTCAACCCCCATGCAAATGCCGGCCCTCTGCTGTCGAGGCAGTGGCGCCCCAAGCGGCACGGGAAAGGGCCACTTCGCGTTACGAAGTGGTGTGGAGCATCCTAGACTAGCCTGTACATGAGATAACAGACCAATAAGTATGATGGGAAGTTGTTTGGCAATATACATAGCATGCCTTTTCAATAATTAAGGCGAATCGATCAACAATTCACATTACCAGTTACTCTAATTTCGGCTGTTTGCGCAGAGGGTTGTAACCAGGCATTGGTGCAATAGGGTCTCTTTTTCTGGCGTGGGAATTTGGGAATTGTAGCTACGTTCTCAACGAGGGTCTGCTCATTGCAAACCTGAGCATCCTGAGAGACATCCTCGGCCTGCACCCAATTCTGGAGCCTTGCCCCAGCTCAGATCCGACCGAGCCAGTGGTGGTACTGGCCCGCCAGGAGGGGCGACTTGCCATCAACCTACGCGGATTACAAGGGGCAAACGACCCTTAATAAACCCTAAACCCTAAACCCTAAACTCTAAGCCCGAAACCCTATTTCCAGAGGGCTGCGGGTTGGTGAGATTTTTGAAGGGCGTGGGTGTGGCTGGCTTCAAGTTGCAGACGGGGCATTTGTTGATTGAGGTCAGGGTGCGGATCGTAGTCGTTACCCCTCGGCCCAATCTAAAACAACCACGATGTTCGGGGACCATGTCTTTGTTTTGGGGGCGGAGGTGAGGGGGGAGGGGAAATGGGTCAATGTCGTGTGCGTCTGAGCTCATGAGCTCATACAGTTGGTTTCCGACATGTGGGTCGGTACTGTTACCTGTTGTAGCAAAGGGAACATCATGTAGATGAAGCCCTAACATTGGCCTCGGGCACGGGAGTGAGGTTCGCGGCAATCCTCGATAAGCCGGCAGGGGTGTCGACGGAGGACCCGGGACTGTATAGGGTTCAGGGGATCAAGGGCTTAGGGTTGAGGGTCAGGGTTTAGTTCGAGTTCAGGGTTTACAAGGGATTAGGGTTCAGGGTTTGGGGTTTAGGGTCTAGGGTCTACGGTTTATAAGGGTTTACGAGAGCCTTAGCATGGAGCCTGGAGGCCTTAAGCCCTACCCCCGTGCATAAACTTTCGGAGGGGAGGTGCGTCCTATGGCGGTACGAAGCCGATCCGATCATCCCCTACTCCTATAGCGGTTGGGTGGAGGGGCCCTCCTGAGATTGGTCTCGGCTTGGGGGCCAAGCATCCTGGCTGGGGTCAACCTACGGGTTCATTTCCGGTGGGACGAAGTGTGGAAGTAGCCAGCGGTGCCTTCCCCTCAAAGCGGCCTCGCGACAGTCCCCTCTATTTGTTGCCAGCTCACGAGAGATTCACAGGCGGCACTTGAAGCATTCGAATTGAACGCTTTTCTGCCATCTGAAAACGGACCCTTAACCCCTTAAACCCAGCTTCGAAACACTATGAGCTTTTTGCCGTTTACAAACTCCTACAAACCTCAAAGCCGCCCAAGCCAGCTCGAGAAACCCGAGCAGAGGAGCTTATTGAGGCGTTCCAGGCGGAGGAGACTCCAGGTGACACCTGCGGCTATCGCGCCTCGGCGGCAGCTTTTCATACTCGAAACGGTTAGGGGGCTTTCAATCTCTCATATACTACTTACACATGGGTGTAAGGGTGCTGCACTTTATATAGGACCCAAAAAAAGGCATACGGCCCTTTTTTTAGAAATGGGGCAGCCTTATACAACATCAAACAAGGGCTCATACGTTAGAACCCTTTAAAGCCTTAGATGCCTGCTCTCAGAGGTATCCAGTCCATCTCTCGCCTGGATTTGCCTACCTCTGGCGCCCTCGTGGTGCCCCTGTGCCAGGACAAGTTGCTCGATTTGGATGCACAGAGAACGCAGAGAGAGAGAGAGAGAGAGAGAGAGAGAGAGACAGAGAGAGAGCAAGAGAGAGAGAAGAGAGAGAGAGAGAGAAAGAGAGAGAGAGCAAGAGAGAAGAGAGAGAGAGCGAGGAGAGAGCGAGAGAGGTAGAGGTTGTGCTGCTCTCTTCGGGGGGGGGGGGGGAGGAGGGCTCTAGAGCATGCAGAGCAAGAAGAAGACAGGGGAAGAGATGGAGGGAGACAGAGAGGGAGGGGTAGAGACGGAGAGGTGAATCGCAGAGGGTTGCAGGTAGGCATGGCATCCTTGTTGTAGGGTGTTGAGACGCAAAGGATTGAAATCAGAAAAGCATTGGTATAGGCTATGGGACTTTGATTTGGGGGGTACCAGAAATGGCCGGCACTTTTGAAGAGCCCCTCTAAGCATTGCCGACAGTGGATGCTGCCTTGCCGGTCTAGATTCAGGTTTAGGGCTTTCCTGTATCTAGAATCCACGACCTACCTTCCTTTGGTAGGAAATCCACGCCAAAATGGCTTAACTCAGTCTTGATCAGAGTAACTTACGGAAAGTTCTCAAGTTCAGCTTCTCTCAACCCTATAGTAGGCCAGTGTTAAAGGATAGCCCTAGGGCCCCCGAGGATCTTAGAAGGGACCCTTTTATCCTGGCACCCTGGATGTAACGCATAGGGCCCCTGGTAAGTCAGTGCCTCCTTTCGCCCCTTGCGCACCAGGAGGCGGAAGAGCACCTGAAGCACCGTTTCGCCACGAGCTGCTGGGCTTTGCAGGTCCTCGAGAGGTTCGGGGTTTAGGGTTTAGGATTTGGGGTTTATAAGGGTTTAGGGGCAGGGGATTCGGCAGCCTCTGAAAAAAAAAACCTACTGGGGCTTCTGACATGCGAGCCGACAGTACATCAAACCCTGAATCTTACTAGCTGAGTAGGTAAGCTTTAACCTTTAGGGGTATGTATAATTCCTACCAGCATTGAAAGGTTGTCCTTGTTTGGCCCAGGCTGCTCAGCAACTAGGGAATTCTCCGAACCTTGCCAAGCCCCAACAGGGGATTTAGGCAAGGCTGCAGCAGTCCTCAGTTAGCCCCGCGGAGATTTACGCCAGGCGGGCTGGCAACAAAAAACACAGCTTCCCCCCCTAACCCTAAACCCTAAACCCTAAATTAACTTTACACTTTTTGGTATACTCTAATCCCCTATAGAACTGAAAGTGTACACTTTTTTTGGGGCTCATGAACTCAGAAACTAAGATGTTGGGAACGCAACATTAAAGCCTCAAAAGCCTCCAAGCCACCGAGGAGATGTGGCCAAGGCTTACTTAGCCCTGGCGGTCGGCGATGTCACCCCTGAGCAAGGCAAGCTCGACAGTAGATATCCCATTCCACAGAGTTTAGGGTTTAGGGTTTAGGGTTTAGGGTTTAGGGTTTAGGGTACTAGGGTTTTCGGGTTTAGGTTCTGCAGTGTGGTCAGCTGGCTGTGTGGTCACTTGGCTCCGTGCAGGCTCGAACAAACCATGTCTTGCTTCTACATATTCCAAATGGGTTTCGGCTTGAGCGCACTATGGAAGCCATAGGCGGAGCACATGCATGGTTCACAGAAGCCATTTTTTGCATGCAGTAAGTTGGCCCTATAAACCCCCAAGCCTAAGCGGCAGTAAACCTCGACTGCAAGGGATCATTGACGCCAAGCTCCGCAGCGTTCAGTCTGCAGATCGGTACCGTGCGGCACCTGTCAGCAAGAAGATAGATGTATGTACGTACATACGTATGTATGTATGTATGGATGCATGCATGCACGTGTAGATGTGTATCTAATTAATCGTTTTCGGGGGGTCCTGGGATTCTGCTTCGGGGCGTGCAACTCCGTGCTGTGAACGCTCGGACAGCTCTTCGGAGACTCCAGATACTAGTAATCGAATCCCAACTTCCCATCTCCACTGAGCCGTGGGTTCTTTCAGGTCTTTTTCGAGTTCAGAGCCGTCGGTGCGGTTTGTTTGGGCTCTTACGATTTGCTCCTGGTAATACATGTGAACCGGTAAACATGAGCAGGAGATAGTTGCGGAATCGAACCCAAACATCCAGTCATAAAAGTATCATGAACCCCGAGACAGGTGGTCCACCCGTACGGCAAGCCAGCTGCTACCGTGCCATTGGGACGCAGAACATCAGAGGTTGGTGTGCGTCGGAGCTACGTCTGGGTTTCGGGTTTGGGGTTCAATGGGTTCAGAAACTGGAGGCCTTGGAACCTCCTGCTGTGTGAAAACCGCATGGCCTGAACATGTCTGAGCGTAACCTTCCAAGCCTGCTGCAAAAGGGTTCAACGGGTTCTTCCTTTCTTCCTGGAGGATTCAAGGGCCAGAAATCCAAGCATCGAGGCTTCCCAAACGTTGCTCAAGTAAGGCCCAACCTAAACCTTAAACCTTAAACCCTAAACCCTAAACCCTAAACCCTACACCCTCCCCCCCTGCCAAAAGCCTGTAGTTGACTACTTCTTGAGGTACAGGAAGCTGACATGCCTTGCTGGGGACACCCGCCACAGCTGCTACTCCCTGGTGGCTTTGCAGAACTAGGCTGTTCAGTAGCATTTGTGTTTTGCCATTTTGGGGTGCTGGGTTCCCTATATTAGGTAAGTAGGCCACTTTTTTTCGGGGGTTCTGGGTTCCCTAAATTAGGTAAGGAGCCCAAAAAAGGTCTCCCTGGGTCACTGAGAACCGTCGAGAAGATGCGTCTTTAGGGTCCAGGGTGCAGGGTTTGCTCCTGCGGCCAATCCTGGGCGCCATGCGGGAAAGGATTGACTTCCTTTCAGTCACGGAAGTTGTCGGGTTTAGCGTTTAGGGTGTAGGGTTATAGGGTCTACACTGCAGGAGTCCGGGCGCAACAAAACGGTCTGTATAGGAAATTATCCAAAATAAACAGCCGGGTTCAAAAACATAATTTCAAGCTCTAAACCCTCAACCCTCAACCCTCAACCCTCAACCCTCAACCCTAAACCCTAAACCCTAAACCCTAAGCCCTGCGGCCGACCTGAGGTGCTGGCCTGGCCCTTGACGGGCCGAATGCACCAGATCAGGGCACACTTCGCCCACCGAGGCCGGGGGGGCTCTTCTACCCCGCAAAATGAAAGGAGAGCCCTTTTTTGCCTTAGGGTTTAGGGTTTAGGGTTTAGGGTTGAGGGTTTAGGGTTTAGGGTTTAGGGTTTAGGGCTCAACACTAGAACAATCTCTACACCCAAGAAGACCACCACGAAATATCAGAAGGAAGGCGTCAACCCCTGGAAATCTTAATCATCTCTATAAACCCCAAAAGTTCAAGACCATGGCTCTTTGAAAAAGGGACTCTAACCCTAAAACTTTGGATGTCCTGTCGCATCGGCTGCTGAATTGGGATGGCACCCTTTGAGAATAAAAACCATTCTTCCCTATAAGGGCAATAAAGGGACCGTTTGTTTTTCTTCTTATTATTGTGAATGTTCTTAAGCAAATACTTGTTTGCTTAAGAACCCCAAAATAAGAAGAAGAAAACAACCACAAATGGTCCCTTTCTTGCCCTTACAGGGAAGAATGGTTCCTAGTCTCTGGGGTTCTTGAGCACCCATTAGTATAGCTTCGGTGCTGCTGGCGGGTTGATCCCGATTAAATGCCGGTTCATAGTGCAGTCGCGCTCATAAACCCTAAACCCTAAACCCTAAACCCTAAACCCTAAACCCTAAACCCTAAACCCTAAACCCTAAACCTTAGGGTTCGTGAGTTATAGAAGTTTGGAGCTCTGGGTTGGAAGGCTTCCCACTCGCCGGGGACGTGCGCTACGCCCCGAAGAAGGAGCCAGCTGTAGGGTTTTGGGGTTTAGGGTTTTGGGGTTTAGGGTTTAGGGTTTAGGGTTTAGGGTTTAGGGTTTAGGGATCTGATGTTGGGGGTTTAGAGAGAGGGGTGTAGGGTTTTAGGGGTTTTGGGGAGATTGGGGGTTAAGGGTTTAGGGGTTTAACGTTGTTGGGGGTCTAGGGTTTTGGGGGTTTCAGGAATTTGGGGTTAGGGGTTGAGGGTGCTGGGGTTTGGGGTTTTGGGGTTCAGGGTTTAAGGTTTTTTGGATCTTGGGAGGGTTAGGTTGAGAATCTTGCCGCACACTTGCAGAGCAGGATGCCTCTGCGTGGTGTGGCCGGCGCCTGTTCCTGCATGCGGCGCATCTTCAACTCTCCGAACCTTAGCTTAAGAACCCAAAGCCCCACTTTTTTGCAAGGTTACCTAAGAATCCTATAAGTGAGAACGGGTTTGATAATCGCGACCTGCAAAAAAGTAGGTTTTGCGTTATTAAGGTAGTGAAGATCGGAGGTGTTGTTGGGTTTGGGCAGTCTAGGGGTTCGGGTTGAAAGAAGGGGCCTCGCCTTCGGGCCTACCGCGTCGCTACGTGAGTAAGGGATCATGTAGCATTTGCAAGCCCAAGCACCACACCAACGCCCCTACACTCCACATCCTCATCCTTACTTAGACCTCCCAGATCCAAGAAGTTGGCCAAGGAAGACTTCCAGGCCCTGTCGCTGCTGAAGGAGGACCTCCTGGGACCCTTGAGGGCGCCTCGCCATTAGGGTCGCAAGCTTGGAATTTTGGATCGGGAAACATGGAAGCATATGGGGGCTTACCCGTAAAAAAACCCTCACAAAGAGTAGGAGTATAAGGACCCCAATAGGGTACCACGAGTTTCGGAAACCCCCATATGGCAACCCTAAACCCCCAAAACGGCGGGAATTTCGGAAAGCCTTTCTCTACACCCTATGGGCCCCCTAACATCACCCTTTGAGGCATCCCTGGACATTAGGTTCCCCTCAGAATTCCCTGATTGAAAAGCCGTCAGAAAGCTTGAGGCCGGGCTGCGGGCCTCGGGGCTTGATGGTTCTGAGGGTTTAGGGTTTGGGGTCAAGGGTTTCCCTAAGGGTCCATGTACCTCATTATTATATACATGGGCCTTAAAGTATCTCCATGTACCTCCTATGCAGGGACTGTAGGGCCCAGTAATATAATCCTGAGGTACATGGACCCTTATATGTTTTAGAGACCTGGATGCAAAAGGGTTCAGGGTTTAGGGTTGGGCGTTGAGGCTCAGGAAAGGCGCAATCTGCAGCCTCTTTGTCTGCCTACTATTGGCCGCCCGATTCCCTTCCTGCTATCCAAGGAGTTGAAAGTTTCAGAAGACCAGCTGAAGGAGTTGGAAGACCCGCACTTCTACCAAAGACGCCGCCGGGACGAAATTGTTGAGGGCTCAGGGTTGAAATCGGTGAGGGGAACTTGGGGAAGGGTTGAGGGGTTCAGGGTTCGAGTTTAGGGTTGGTGCGGGGGGGGCTGGGGGGTTCGATGTTCGGTCTATAGCCCCTGGCAGTGCATTCTGCTTCGCGATGAAGTGCGCGGCATATGGGAGGGACGCGGGGATGCCCATCTTGCCCTTATTGGTCTTATAAGGCAGCATGTGTTCATTTGTGTGGGTTCTTAAGCAATTTGTAACTAAGAAGACCCAGACATGTCAAACTTCGATGACCCTTGCAACCCTAATCAGTGAACCCTATAAACCCTCCCTTAGACCCTTGAACCCTAAAGCTCAACCTTATAAAGCTGGAAAAAGTCGACAAGCCTTCAGAGTCCTGCTCAGGTGGAAACTGCGAGATGGAACCGGACAATGTGGCTGGAGAGGCCTCCGTCACATGAGCAGCTATAGACCACTCTCATGTTCGGGGCAGGATTTCGGGTTTAGGGTTTAGGATTTAGGGCCTTTTAGGGTTTATGTTTTCGGGTAGGGTTCAGAAGTTCAAGAAAGTAGCAGGGTTTACAGGAAACCCTCTTGTTTGCAAGGAAACCGGTTGGGGAAGTTGGGGGGGGGTACGATGAAGATGCACACAGCTCACTCGGAAGTGCTACGCCCCAGTTCTACGGCTCCCAGGTCAAGGGCCGCCCCTAATTACATCCTCACCGCGCCCCGACACCCTCTCCTTAGCTGTGACTCCCAAACCCGAGAAACTAGTAGTTGTAAGCCGTAACCCCGTAAAGAATAGGGTACACCTACAAAATAGTAAGTAAATGGAGCCCCCAGATAAGGCACCAAGCCCAACAAGCCCCGTCCAGGAGCCTGGTACCTCGGACACCGACTCTGCCACTTGGGATAAATTGATCCCCCAAGAGCTCAGTCCGCACGGGGTGGAGCAGGTCATTCTTATAAGACCATCTGGGATAGTAAGGGTTAGAGGTTTTGGCTTTAGAGATTTAGGCATTTTGGTCATGAAAACAAATGGGTTCGTAAACCCCTCTATACAACAAACAACAGCTAAGCTGTTCTCTGCCAGTCTGTGAAAGGAAGACACGGACGTGGAGGCATTGCTGGAAAAGGGCAGCACGGCGGCCGCTTGCCAGACCTATCTTCCCTTTGGGCCGCTAGTGTTCGGGGCTTATACGCCCTTATCGGGTTTTGAGGTTGAGGCCTTTATGGACCGAGCTTCGCCTTTTTGCAAAACGAATGCTTCAGATGCATCTTGGACAAAGCACAACGGTCCAGCACTTTGGAAAACAAAACGACTTCACATCAGCACAGGTCTCTGCCTTACCGCTTTATCACCCCGAGACTTCTCCAAAAGCCCTCGAATCGAGTCCCAAACCCCAAACAACAAATCTTATATAAGCTATATAAGCCAAGGTTCCCCTAAACCCGAACTACCACAAACCCTAGGCCCTTTGGACCCTAAGCCCTGAGCCCTAAACCCTAAACCCTAAACCCTAAACCCTAAACCCTAAACCCTAAACCCTAAACCCTAAACCCTAAACCCTAAACCCTAAACCCTAAACCCTAAACCCTAAACCCTAAACCCTAAACCCTAAACCCTAAACCCTAAACCCTAAACCCTAAACCCTAAACCAAACCCAAAGCCCTGCACAAGTGCCTCAGGATTGGGACCCTGCCGCCGCCACGCCGGTCCTGGCGCCACCACCCCGGTGTCCACAGCCGGAGACGCCACAAGAGGCCGTAGAGGAGATGATACCAATGAACTTGTAAACCCTACATCTAGGCTGGCTCTTGGTGTATATATCATATTGTCCCTTATTGGGTTTAAGAGGATGATACTTGGGAGTGTTTTTAAGAGAGGTTGAAGGGCCATCCTAGACAACCCTATGTGTTGTGGGACTGTTTTGTTTTGGGTTTGGGTTTGGGGGGGGGGGGAGGGGGAGGCTCTGAGGTTTAGAGAGTGGTGAGGCATAGTGATCGTCAGAGGTCAGACGGCTTCGGGTTTATCTAGCTTTGAGCCCCTAGGGGCTCTTTAGCAAGAGCTTGGGCTAATGGTGCAGGAAGTCGAGGTTGAGCGGACATCTGCGCTGACTACATCCTAAGGCCCTTCCCCTAAACCCTAAACCCTAAACCCTAGACCCTAGACCCTAAACCCTAAACCCTAAACCCTGAACCCTAAACCCTAAACCCTATAAACCCTAGACCCTAAACCCTAAACCCTAGACCCTAAACCCAATTTAGGGAACCTCCGTCCCTGAAGAGGAGGCCGCACCTTCAGAAGCAGATGGCGGGGGAGGCAGCGTGGGTGCTCTTTTTGTGGGGGTCGGGAGAGGGTTGGCATGGGGGAGAAAAGGGCCCTTAACCGATCGTTAGAACGGGGTCATTGTAGTATAATTACAAAGGGGCTATAGGGGAGTACTATTAGTTTCCCTAACCCTAAACCCTAAACCCTAAACCCTATACCCTATACCCTAAACCCTAAACCCTAAACCCTAAACCCCTATGTTGTTTGGGAAAGGCTTACGGGATCCTATATGGCTTCGTGAGGAACGCTCGATAGGGAAGCGGCTGCCTGCAAGGGCCACTGCAATAATGGGGTGTTTGTGAGCAGTTACCATGCATCTATCGCCCAGCTACTGCAGGGTTTCAAAAAACCCTATCTTCGTAAACCCTGAACCCTGATGTTCTTGACTTCGAAATTTCTTGGATGGAAAAAGGGGCTGGTGAGTTGAATTCAGGCGTCTTCCCCTGACAAGGGTTATTGCCAGGTTTAGGATTTTGAGCAGGTTTTAGACCCTCTCAAACTCGAAAGAGCTTCCTTTGTATACGTGGAGTGCTATACAGAATACCTTGGGGACGAAATGAGCCCTAATTGGGGCCATATACCCTATTTACCATAACCCCAATTAAAGCAAACCCCACAAAGTTGGAACATGGTTTAAGGATGATTAGAGCTGGGATTCCCTTTAGCAACCCTTTTGGGGTATGGGGATATGGATGTTCCAACTTTTTGGAGATTACTGTAAGGCAACATGCACCCTAAACCCTTTTAGGGCTCATTTCGTCCCCAAGGTAGGGGGGCGGACCGAAGGATACCTGCCCGCGCCGAAACTCCCGCCGATGAAGCCGCCGCCGCAGACTCCAGATGTGACGCGAAGCCAGAGGGCGTCACAAAAAATGCAAATCCTAAACCCTAAACCCTAAACCCTAAACCCTAAACCCTGAACCCTGAACCCTGAACCCTGAACCCTGAACCCTGAACCCTAAACCCTAAACCCTAAACCAGACGTTGGGGTTCAGGGTTCCCTTCTCCCTGTCTGGCATGAGGCTGGGGAGGAAGCTGGGAATTTGGGGTGGTTTGGGGTTCCACATGTCGTCCTCCAGCCTCACTGTGGCCTCAATTGATTACTAACAACACCGAAGTAGCCCTGAAACAGCTCCCTGGATTAAATATGAGCCCTAAATTCACAAAGTTCCCTGGACTAAGTACTACTAATCTTTGACCCCTAAATCACCACCATGTTATTGATTTCATCCCCAAGGCTCGCTCGGCTTGCTCATTGCCACAGCTCTTATCGTCCCAATAAGAGAACTAAATTATACTGGGTTTTTTGGTTATTGTTCTTCTCTTCACCTGTATCAGTAGGAAAGTGCCTGTGGTCATGGATTTTGGGAGTGTAGGGTGGCCTTTGCATCCCCCACCACCTCTGCCCACGCTCCCCCTCCCATGCCCTTCTCGCTCTGAACCCTCTAAGTGTCCAACAGACATGGGGTTTGGCTTCTGTTTCTTCGAGGCGGGGGACCATTTGGGAACGCAACGGAACTTGATAATCTTTGTTGAGTTACACAGCTTAATCCTTTACTTCGCCCCAAGAAGCAGCAAAGAAGCGCCTCAACGACTCCTGGACCCTAAACCCTAAGCCCAAAACCCTAAAACCTAACCCCTAAACCCTAAACCCTAAACCCGGCAATGAATCCCCAGGGTCAAAGCACATGGGCCTGCGATGCTCTTTCTTTTGTCCGGCTCGGGGCGGCGGGAAACTAGCTGGGCACAACGCTTGCCCGTACATCAGTGGCTCAGGACCGGCTTTGCCCAATGCTTTGTGGACTTTTGTTGAGCTTTAAAGGGCTTCGAAGACCAGTTGAGTTTAGGCTGAGGGTTGGAAGAAACACCCGGTTTCACTGCATTGTGTTAGAACCTGTTTCAAAGTCTTCAATGTTCCCGAGTCTCTAGGACGACAGCACTGCTGACCACACATTTCATCCTGCTAAACTCCTCACCCAGAGCCGATCCGCCCAACACCCAAGTAAAAATACACCCCTGAGCACAGACCCACGGCTTCATCGGGCCTATAGACTCTGAGGGCTTTCATGGGTTGCAGGGTTTCAAGGTTCCAGGGGTTAAGTCATACATAGGTGGTTTATCAGACTTCGTACAGCGTTGAGCACACCCGCCCGATGGCTGGTGGGGGCCTATGTCCCTTAGCTCTGAAGCCTCAGCACTTTGAAGTCTAAAATTCTCTTGCCGAACCAGGGGGCCCCAATTTTTCGTGTGTGTGCCCCGGAGCACTCAACGCAATGTGCAGCAAGGAGGACGCTGGGCGAAAGGCAGGGCGATCCTGTCGGGCGCCCGGCCGATGCATTTGAAAACCAGGTGAAGTACTTTCAAAATCCCTTCCGTCACAATCATAAGTTCATAAGGGTTCCACAAAAGGCAGCTGAGTAGGTAACCTTCTTTTTTTGGGGGGTAATTATATGCAGTCCTACCATGGTTGAGAAGTTAACCATTCTCGCCCAGGGTACTCAGCAACTAGGAAGGGCTCTTGGCCCCGTGATTCAAGTCCAGCATAAGGGGAGGGGGCTTTGGATGCCTCTACAAGCGGCATCTTGCAAAAAGTTCTTCTCCCGCTGTCAACTTGTTAGCCCGACGCTCCCAAGTCTTGAGCTGTCCTAGGCAGCCCTACATGCCTGATGCCTCGTCAACACTTCCCAAGACCTGTCTTCTTGCTTATCCTCCCTTAGCCCAAGCAAAAAAGTCAGAAGCTTCCTACACCCTACCTTAAGAAAACTCCCAAGCCTTGTTCAGGGTAAGTCAGAATTTTCATCAAAGGTTTAATTGCAGCCTGCAAAGCAAGAACGGGGTTCTTATAAGCCTCCCAGAAGCCACGTGATCATCCTGCTTTGACATCCCCTGCCGCCACCGCCGCCTTTGCAGACAAAACCCGGCTCAGACCTCTTTCCTTCCCGAGCGCGTGCAACGCCTGGGCGCCACCATGACGTCGCAGGCCAACCGTAGCGGTTTAGGGTTTGGTGTTTGGGGTTTAGGGTTTAGGGCTGATAAGGCCAATGGGAGAAACCTACAGTGTATTGAACAATCATCGAGCCTGAACTGTTTTTGTTGCTGAGGGTGAATTAATGGCTCTGCAGTTGGAAGACGGCTACCGACCCCCGAGGCATCATGAAAGCCCTCGTCTCCAGAAAGAGAAGCGTAAGGCAAGATGGGAGATACCTCTCCTGAACTAGACCAAACTATCCGTTAAGCTCTCAGCAGAAGCTGCGAAGCAGAAGCTGCGAGGCAGCGTTTAGGACTTAGCGGGGAGGGCTGACAGGACCAAAGCCCAATTCCCTGAAAATCCCTTGCTGAAGCTATGAGCCTCAAACCCTTGCAAAGCACCATTGGGCCGAACTTGCACCCTTCTGGGTATACTTAGGGTACTTACCTGTAGTATCACAGGCATACCAAGAATGGAAGCTTCTAGTTTTGGGGAGCCCTACAAAAACCCTAAACCCTCCGGACCCCTAAGCCCTCACCCTGAGAACCCAACACCTACCTTTTTGTAGGTTCTTATTATAGCACGCCTTACAGGGTTCTTGGGTAACAGGCTACAAGAAAGTAGGTTGGGGCAAACCCTAAACCCTAAACCCTAAACAGGCCGTCGTGGCCACCCCATCTCAGCAGCCCAACAGTACAGCGGGCACTGTGGTGGCCACGGTGTCTTGGTCATGAGACAGTCTTAGGATTCAGGTCAGGTTGGAGGGTAGTCTCAAGGGCTTGTTTGGGGTTTGGGGTTTAGGGTTTAGGGTTTAGGGTTTAGGGTTTAGGGTTTAGGGTTTAGGGTTTAGGTTTAGGGTTTAGGGTTTAGGGTTTAGGGTTTAGGGTTCGGCTGGTGGCGCCACAAGGACATCTGGCCCCAGGTTGGGACCCTGAGCCGATGAACATGCCAAACCGTGTTTGCATTTATACATGTATACATCTGTACATACATACAGACATACATACATACACACGCACATGTATACATGTATGTATGTATATACATATATATCTATCTACATGTGTATTTGATATTTGCCTTTGTAGTGTGTCTATTTCTTTATTTGTAGATTTGTTTATGCATAGGTTCGAAATAGGACATCATTGTACCCTACCCGCACAGAACACCTGAAGCGGCAAGCACTGCACACAAAACCCTAAACCCTAAACCCTAAGCCCTAAACCCTAGCCCTAAACCCTAAACCCAGGTGGGCTGCGCTGCCCTGGGCCTGGCTGTGGCCGGCCCCGTGGGGGCCGTGATCGGCGGCTCAGTCGGCGCCCTGCTCTCATCTTCCAGGCCACTTCCCCGCAAGAGACCCTAAACCCTAGCCCTAAACCCGAAACCCTAAACCCTAAGCCCTGTGCGGGTGGCAAAAAAAACCCTCAACCCTAACCCCCACGCTATACCATTGCCCACTGCGATGTAAGACTCCGATTTGGGGATTCCGAGCTATTTGGGTTCCCCAAGCTCCCCTCCTGACAAAGATTCAAGACTCACCTTCGATGTCTTGGGTCTTGGCCTCCAGAGATGCTGTTGTAAACTGCAAGCCTCAAGGTCCATGTACCTAAATAGGGAGCACTTTGGGCCTTACAAAGTTCCCTCCTATATAAGGACCCTGGAGCCCAAGTTGTAGAACAAGGAGGTACATGGATCATGGACCCTTAGGACAAGGGGATGCGGGTGAAAAAAGAGCCGCTCCGAAAGGGCCCAAGTGAATCGTTGTTTCAGGTCTTCCTCCTCCCGTCGCAGGACCGCCGCGCTCGGCGCCCCTTGGACCTGCTTGGACCTCCCTCGTTCGTTTTACAAATCAGCGTTGAGGGTTTTGTGCTTGCAGGCTTTTTTGGGGGGGGTTTAGGCTTTACAAAGGCAGGGCATTATATGTATATACACAAAATACATATACATATACATATGTTACACATACATATAGTATACATACACATACACATACACATACACATACACATACACATACACAATACATATACACATACATATACACATACATATGTCTAGGAAGGGTTGGTGTTAGCAGCAGGTCTCCAACATCCGAGTGCCTCGGGATGGCATGTGCGAGCATCAGGGAGCCGGGAGCTGAGGGGCCTGGAGTCCAAAGTTCGACCCTAGGGTTTAGGGTTTAGGGTTTAGGGTTTAGGGTTTAGGGTCCGGGTTTGAGGGTTGGGATGTTCCCCTTACACTAGCAGTCAGTATAGTACCCCCGATTATAATCCCTATTAAGGACGGTTGGTATCAACCTATGCTTTATGATTGTGGTCAACACGCAATACCTACTCTTCGGCAGCGATGTAAGTGTGTAAGATATCCAGAATTTGCTTCGGGGCGTAGACTCAGAAACCCTGCCCCTTTTGTTGGAGCCCTTGGGTTCAGAGACGGACCCGGAGGCTTTGACAGCCTGCTCGGCCCAAAGGCCAAATCGTGCATGAGGGCTGACTGCACAAGCCTCTGCAGTTCCTGAGTTCAATACGAGGTCACCTACTTCGCCGTGGAGGTGGTGCATGACACGGGCAGTGCCACGGTCAAAGGGATTGCGAGTCCTTGGAGTCAGAGATACGGAGTTTAAACAATTCGAAGTTCAGGCTTCCCAAGAACAATCCCCAGCATGATGTAGGTAGCTGCCAGGTAGCTATGCAAAGTCTGGGAGGAATTGCCGCTTTCAGGGCATGGACAGTTCTTGCAGCTGGGGATGCCAACGTGACACAACAAAGATCCCTTTCCCTCCCTGGCGTCGCGAAGCGCAATTCCGCGAGCACTATATGCCGCGGAATCACCGCCAAGGACCTGACATAACTATGCTCCTAGTATAAAGATGCCTTTGACTTTGTCCGGATTGTTCCAAGAACCTCTGAGATAGCGAGTTGATCCCGAAGTTTCAACAGCCCCATCCGACGCTTTGAGCTGTGACGCAGCACACGCTTGACTTTCCCGAGCCCAGGCACGTGGCGAGTCATGCGCCGCTACAGCGACTTTTACAAGCTTCGGAAGACCTTGCGAGTGCGCTACCCTTTCCCCAGGAAGCATCTAAGCTGAATGTGTCACTTGTCCATATGACACATACGGGGCTTTCGAAGGGTCTAGCGCAGTTTGAGGTGTTTACATACAGATTTATTCAAAATGTGCCCATAGTATCTCTTTTTGTGCTCATGGAAGATGAACATAGGCGCCAGAGATTGTGATATGTGTTGAGTGAAGCTAGCCCCGAGACGGTCACTACCACGGAATGGTGGAAGGGCTGCTGCCTTGCTTGATGCCCAGCGTCCTCTCTATGCCCCAAGCCTGACAAAAGAGGATGCATATGGAGACCTTGCAGCCCTCACGATGGCAATGCACTCAGAGATATACCAGATTATTGAGGGACGCTATGTTGGCAAGAAACCGGAAAACCCCAGTGCCACATCCCGAAAGATCTAGGTTCTCTCATTTTGCTTTGCTTGGCTGGCCGATCTCAAGTAGATAAGTCTTAAATGCTATATATAGTGGCCATTGTGTTATATATAGGGGCCATTGTGTGCTGGAACATCCACCAGTGTGGCCATCGGCACTTTCAAGATGCATTCTCTAAAACGATGAGACCATACTCTAATCCTTGTGTAATTTTATATACGAACCGAAACAAGCAGACATCAGTGCCCTCTTTGGCCACGCAACCGGTGATGGCGACTTCCATGCGTCGATGTGCCTCGTGGATGAGCGTGGCGTCGTGGCTTCTGCTGGCCACCCCGAAGTCTCTGACAGTGCTCGTCCCGCCCCCCGGTGCAAGCTTGAGTCTGGCCAGCCGTGTGGGAAGAGTCGCCGGCAAGGCTGGACCAGAGTGCCCTGAGCTCTCCCGAAGGCGGCAAGTGGGTAAGGCCTGGAAGATGCCGAGGGCCAGATTCCGGTGGAGTTCTGGAGACGGTTGGCTCAGGGCCTTGTGCATGCTCGAAGACCGCTATGGTGACCGGTACGATGTCAGCCGCATGGACGAAGCCTGGTGGAAAGCCCACGTGAAGGGTGCTTTCTCGAAGCTGGATGTGACGTGTCGCCACTGCGGCCATCGCTCCCGCAGCATGTGGGTGAACAACCTGCGGAAAGGCCAATCTCCTGGCTGTTTCTGCAATGGCGGCGTGCCTTGGTCCAGCCCGGCAGGGCGTGCTCGATGTCTGGAGATGATCTGGGCGCGTTACGGTGGCCAGTACGATGTCCGGCGCATGGACGAGGCCTGGTGGAAAGCCCACGTGCAAGATTGTAACTCGAAGCTGGATGTGACGTGTCGCCACTGCGGCCATCGCTCCCGCAGCACGTGGGTGCAAGGCCTGCAGCAAGGCACAGCTCCCGGCTGTTTCTGCAATGGCGGCGTGCCTTGGTCCAGTCCGGCAGGGCGTGCTCGATGTCTGGAGATGATCTGGGAGCGCTACGGTGGCCAGTACGATGTCAGGCGCATGGACGAGGCCTGGTGGAAAGCCCATGTGAAGGATCAGACGTCGAAGCTGGATGTGACGTGTCGCTACTGCGGCCATCGCTCCCGCCGCACGTCGGTGAGCAACCTGCAGAAAGGCCGATCTCCTGGCTGTTTCTGCAATGGCGGCGTGCCTTGGTCCAGCCCGGCAGGGCGTGCTCGATGTCTGGAGATTATCTGGGAGCGCTATGGTGGCCAGTACGATGTCAGGCGCATGGACGAAGCCTGGTGGAAAGCTCACGTGAAACGCGTTGACTCGAAGCTGGATGTGACGTGTCGCCACTGCGGCCATCGCTCCCGCAGCACGAAACTGAACAACCTGCAGCAAGGCCAATCTCCTGGCTGTCTATGTTCAAGAAAGACCGAAGGGAAGCTGATGCGGTGGTTGGCCCAGAACTTCTCGCAGTTTGACGTCACCTCGCAGGTCAGGGGCTGCACGAGCCCGGCGTCGAATCGCACTTTGCCTTTCGACTTTGGCCTCAACAACGACACCATTCTCATCGAGCTGGATGGCAACATTGGGCATTTTGGGCTCGGGTGGGGTGGATCTGAAGATGATGGAGGCGTGCCGCAAAGAGACCACTTCAAGGAGCAGTGGGCGCTGCGGAATGGCAGGACTGTGGTTCGGCTGCTTCAAGAAGACGTGCATAGCGACTCTTGGGACTGGAAATCCTTCGTAACATCCACGATTCAGCATTCAATTCGGAATTCGAGGGCCTGTGTACTCACGCAGGATGCAGTAGAATACAAGAGCGGCATCTACAGCCAGCTCCGTGGTGGCTTGCATTGCCAAGTCGGCCACTTCCGAACGAGCCGCGGCGATCGGATCCCATACTTGGCATATGCAGCTGAAGAAGCGGATTTTTCTTTTTTCCCCACCCCATCCTAAATCTCGAGATTCATCTTCAAGCGCCACTATTCCCCCCCCCCCCCAACGGGAAAGCATGACCTCTCAGCAGCGCTGTCGCATGTTTCCAGCCTTCATATTGGGGCGGCTAAGGAGACCTCATGAACCCTCAAGCGCAAACACCCAAAGCACCCTCAACACCAAATCGCAATCAAGCGCCGAGTTCTCGACACTTGCCTCAGTGCCGCAAGCTCCCCAAGACCTTGCACCCAATCTCGCATCCCCTCATTCCTCTCTAGGCGGAGGAAACAGTTCAGGTGTCTGCGTTGGGGCTAATTTTTCGGGTGCTTCTTGTTGCTTAAAGGTTGTTGGCTTTGTTAGCTGGTTCGCTTTTAGTCCTTCAGGGCAGCTTAGAGGCTTGAGAGGGGTAACCATGGGATGTAAGGAGGTGTGAGGGTTAGAAAACCCAACTCGGCCGAAAGCCCAGGCATTGGTTTGGGTGTCGCGGGCTGCAGCTGGAAGCCCGACGCCAGGGTCTGGAGGCCCCTCCAGCCCCAACTTGAGGGTGTGCTTCTTCTGGGCCTCGGGACGGTTGAGGCTTTGAGGGTTTGGTTAGGGCTCGTGTTTTGAGAATGCTTGAGGATGACACCCATCTCTGAACCCTAAAGCATTTTTGTCAGGCCGACAGCAGCATTGGGAGTGGCAAGAGTAGGAACGTTGGCTACTTGTCGTGAGCCCAGAACCCTAAACTGCATGAGCAAAAACCCTAAACCCCCTCATGCCCTACCCTATACTTCCAGGGACCTATACAACAGTGAGGTTACTAGAACCCTTAAGGACTCAATAAGTATCGGGTACCAGAAGCATACCTTAAAAGAACCCAAAACCTACAACAAATTGAAAAGTAGGTTCCCTAAGAATCCTATAAGGGTTTTTGTAACAATGGCCTACAAAAAAATAGGTTGAGGGGGTCTTGAGGTAGGGTTCAACCCTAAACCCTAAACCCTAAACCCTAAACCCTAAGCCCTAAGCCCTAGGCCCTAAGCCCTAAGCCCTAAGCCCTAAGCCCTAAACCCTAAACCCTAAACCCTAGACCCTAACCCCAAGGATGAACGGAAAGCGCAGGCCTGGCTCTCCTATGCGGCGCTCCGCTACGCGCGCGCCGGGGTGCCGAGCTGGGCCGAGGCGCCCCTCCGCGACTTCCTGGAGCCCCGGCTTTTGGGGAATAGGGGCTTTGAGGGTGTTTAGGGTTTAGGGTTTAGGGTTTAGGGTTCAGGATTATAGGGCTTTGAGGGCTTGAAAGGGTTTGGGGAATTCAGGGATCTATAGGTCTTTCTTCATGTCACTGAATCAAAAAGGAACTTGTGGGCTCAGAGGGGAGCTTAGGGCTTGTTGCTTTTTTGGGGGGTGTGGTCGAGACAATCAGCTGCAGCCAGGCATTTCAAGGCATCCAGTGCCTAAACCCTAAACCCGGCACCCACCATGGGCCGACCCTAAAACCCTGGGCTTGGGGGACCACATGAGCCCTAAAAGGGTTTGTGGTTCATATTGGCCTTAAAAAGGTTCTAGCAGGATAAGGTGCACGACGCTAAGTTAGTGTTCATATTTGGTCCCTGAAAGACCTCTACAGATCCTTTTGCGTGTTCTTTCCAAGGAGCGGGGAGCCGGCCAGACCTCCGCGCAAGTTGCCGACCAGCCTCCCTTCAAGCACAGACTGAACGGGGCCGACTTGGAGGTGTTTAGGGTGCTTAATAACTCCAATTTATAGCTGTACGAAACCCTAAACCCTAAACCCTAACCCCTAAACCCTAAACCCTACACCCTGAACCCTAAACCCTAAACTTATGAGCCCCCTAAGTGTTAGTGGACTTCGAATTGGGGTTCTAACTATCCATGAACCTCCAAGTATACCATCCCCACCCTAGCTACCCCCTCGCCACTCCCCGCCCAAGGTAAGGCCCAAGCAACCCTTCTTGACTTGGGCCGTATTGGGGGGGGTTGGAGGGGGGGGGGGCGGTAGCATAGGATCCCAGAATTCCATCTTCCGAAAATTATCACCTACACCCCCAGCTACCGAAAGCCTTGGTTTCTTCAGCGCTTCAGGGTCTACAGGATTCTTGTCTTTAAGGTTGTGGGCATACGGCTGCCAGGGTTGAGGTGTCGTTCATGATTGCGACAGCTCGGGAGCGAGTGGTGTCTTGCTGCTGAGCGCCTGTGTAGGAACCACGGCTCATACAGAACAAGCTTCTGCACGTGAATTACTCCTATAGCAAATAAGGGCAAGCTAAGTGAAGGGCAGAACCCCTTCAGGCCTTAGTTTTACCGGTGTACCCCTTTGACCCTAAGGCTCCAAATAGCCCAAAGTAGGTATTATTTACAGACTTTAGACCCCAATGTAGGTGTTATTTCTATACTTGGAGTTACCGGTGCACCCCTATAACCCTCAGGCTCCAAGTAGCCCCAGTATTATTTACAGACTTTAGACCTTCTATACTTGGAGCCCTATAGAGCTAGCAAGGTCCGACACCATCCCTGTGATGGTGCCTGCCGGCGTTGTTGCTGGACAGCCTCTGACCGTGCCTGGCCTGTGGTCCTGGGTTTAGGGTTTAGGGTTTACAGGGTTTGCAGAGCATGTAAAGCTCGTAACCGTAGATATTGCTGACACTGAAGTTGGTTTTTGGGTGCTCACAGAAGTTCGGTGCCCAGCATGGTGATGCCACAAGTGCTGGCCAACATGACTTCGGGAATGTGTTGCTTGAAATGCGTTGACGGTCTCGTTGGGTTTGCAGGAGGCCCCCTATAAACCCTAAAGCCACCCCGAATACCCCAAAACCCTAAAGCTTTGGCCTGATGTGAGAGGTTTTAGTGGGGTGGTCTCCGAGCATGCGAAGGGCCCATAGTTTTGAGGAGATCAACCATGGGACCATAAGCCATATGTCAGTTGATCTCCCATGTGTGATATCCTCTCATTACACTTCTCTATAGACCCTAAACCCGGCCCTAAACAGTATAAAGCCTCTTCAAGAGCCAACAAGCATGCCACAAATCGCCTCCGGCCAACATTCTCAGGGCAGGTGAAGGAGTGTTGTTTGGCTTAGTTCTTATGGCGCCATGTTCGCCAAGGTGACACAGCCAGATGGATCCAACTTCGTCATCACAGTGCCCGAGGGCGCTTTGCCAGGAACAGCATCTCGGCTCAGTCACCAAGAAATGCTCCGGCTCCAACTCTTGGAGCCTTGGAAGCCCTACCACAAGGATTCCAAAGCCCTATATATGTTTTTGTAACCTGCAAGAACCGCAGGTTTCGAAAAACAACTCAAACATGAGACCTTCGGCAAAGATGATCATGAGGTTCTGCAGGTCCGGCGGCCGGCAGTCAGCACCCCGCCACCGCCTTCAGCATCGCAACCCCCGCCGTCCGCTGACGCGGCCGGCAGTCAGCAGAAGATCATGCTCAACATCAGCGTGCCCTGGCCCCTGATTGTAATTGCCCCTCAATCAATGATGCTGGGTATGGGATATAGAGATTAGAGTCTGTCTTCAGGTTTACCAGCTATATAGGGCATTATATTGCCGAAACCTTAGGGGTTTGTCAGGAACTTTTTGTGGGTGTGTGAGAGTGCTGTTTCTCTCGGATCGTGCACTCTTTTTGAGGCAGGCTTGGTGTGTCTGTTTGAGATGTAGGTGTTAGTGTGAGGTTTTGGCAAAAAGCTTTTGAGGGGCTGTGTGCTCTTCATGTTAGATCTTCCCTACCTCCACCTGCTAGAGAAGCCTAATTATCCCTAAGCCCCAAACCCTAACCCTTCTATCCGAGCTGCCAAGACAGTTTCATCAAAGCAGAGAGGTGCCAGCCGGTGTGCAGCCCGGGCAACTTCTGGGTGTCAAGGTGCCACGGAATTTCAGGGTTTCGGGTTTAGGGTTTTAGGGTTTAGGGATGAACATGAACGGTTCAGCACCAGGTCATTGTTGAGGAATCCACTCGAAATCGCTCCGTTACTCTCAGACCCTGGCCTCCCACTACTCACTCACTTTGGGAAACTAATCATGTAAGGATGTAGACACGCATCCGCGTGCTCAGAAGTACAGATGTCTTAGTTTCATTGTCAAAAGAGGACTCACCGACCCCATTCTGTGACGACAAGCACCAAGTTCTGGGAGGTTCCCGATGGACGAGAGCTGACGGTAGAGGTTCCCTCCGGGGCAGGACGAGAGCTGCAGTTGGAGTTCGACCCCCAGGCATCGGTTTTTTGCGCGGGAAGGATATTTATTCGAAAGGGTTAGCTAAGATTAACCTAGAATTCCTCCCTTAAAACGACATAGGGACGCCTCTGTTGACTAATTACATATCTTTTGTTGTCAGGCATTCGGTGTATTTCTCGTCGTTCAGATGCTGGGTTACTTGAGGTAGGGCTTAAGGTTCAAACGTCGCTGCCTCCTTTCCTAAGTCGTTGACCCTCATCAATGAAGCCCTCACCGAAAGTGGTTTAAAGGCGTAAAGGACCCATTCGGGCTTACAGGGGTCATGGGGCATATACAACTTCTAGGGTTTACAGCGGTTTGGGGCTTTTTGGGAAGCTTGGGGGGCATCTGCAGAAGGCGGGTCGCCTCACTGTGGTGCCCACGGCGTCCCCCAAACATCTGGCGGATCCGGACAACAGCCACTTGGCCGCAAAGGGTGGAACAATCCAGGGGTTAGGTTTTATCATGGGTTTCCGTACTCCCCCCCTCGATACTACCCCCCCCTAGATTCCCCCCTTGAATGACCTTTTTAAGGCTTACTTCTCCTAAATAGCCTTTATTATGGGGGAACCTAGGGGGGTAGTAGGGGTAGTAGGGGCTTTAGTGGAGGAGTCCAGGGGCCTAGGTTTTAAGGCTCGCTTATTAGACGGCTGGGATTGGTGTAGCTGGTACAGGCATGGATTGCTCAAGCTAGGCCTTCCTGCTCGACTTTTCAGAAGCCTGTGAAAAGCCGCTGGTACCTGCTATGAGCCCCTATTAAACCTAAACCCTAAACTCTAAACCCTACACCCCCGAGTGTTTTTGATGTATTTTGCATTGTTGAGAAGAGGTTGGCAACATGTTTTTGACTCACGCCAGCAGACTGTACAGACATGAAGCCCTGCGTTGCGGTTTGGCCAGCCACGCGGGAGCGAACAAAAAGCACCCTAAACCCGGCCGCCACATCCCCGTTTTCCAGGTGCGGAGGCGGAGGTGTTCAGCGTGCCCGTGCCACCTGATGGCCGGCCGGGGCAGCTCATCCACGTCCAGGCCGAAGTGTTCGGCTCGAAAGTTCAGCGTTTCGGAGTATGAATAATGGATGCAGTTTTGGAATACCAAAGGATTGGAATGCTATAATACTATAATCCAATAATATCTAGTAGGAAAATGGAATCACATAAGAGTATCATGACATAATCACAAAAGAATTTGTCGAATAATCACATACTATGGTGTCAGGGTTCTGCCATGTGATGGCTCAAGGCTCAGGGTGAATGCTCTAAGGGTTTCTGGGCGGCTCCCGGCCCGCCGGAGCAGGGTTCAAGCTGGTTTTCAGTTTAGGGTTTGGGGTTTAGGGTTTAGGGTTTAGGGTGAGGGATGAGGGTGTTTTATAGACTTTCGGGTTTAGGGTTTAGGGCTTAGGGTTAGGCACCCCGCCTCCCAAGCCGAGAAGCCGACCACGAGCAACCGCCCTTTTCGTAGCTCAGAGGTGTTCGGGCTGTTGGACTTGGGGGTCTAGAGCTCACAGGGGGTTTTTGGAGGTTCGGTTTCGGATGCAATGTTTGAAAGGAACTGAGGATTGCGCTCCCGATAACATCGATGAGTCGAGAGAGTGATCCATGACCGATCTACCCTCTAAGCCCTAAACCCTATACCCCCTAAACCGTATGCTGCCCTCATACACCCGGAGCCCTCTGTGAAACCATCTTTTGAGGTGCCGGATGGCCGAAAGCTGCCCATCACACTGCCGGAAGGCAAGAAGCCAGGACACCGCGGCCATCATTCACTAGGTTTAGGGTTTAGGGTTTAGGGTTTCTAGGGTTTAGGGTTTAGGGTTTATAGGGTTTAGGGTTTAGGGTTTATAGGGTTTAGGGTTTAGGGTTCAGGGTTTAGGGTTTAGGGTTTAGGGTTTAGGGTTTAGGGTTTAGGGTTTAGGGTTTAGGGTTTAGGGTTTAGGGTTTAGGGTTGGTTTCATCCTCCCCCAGTGGCGTAATTATGTGAAGCCCCTCGGAGTCCTGAGCGAGCTTAAGTTCTCTCCACATCAGAGGCTCCCGCAAGGCAAAACTTCAAACCCCATGATCCCTCATGTCTGCGAGATGCAATGCAAAGTCACTGCTGTGTCGGCGAAAATCATGGCGAATCTGTTGGCTGCCGGCACTCGGGCTGCTGGCTAACCTGTGGCATCAGTCGGGGTTCTTGGCATCCCCTCGCTGTGCAGGAAAAGCCGCCCGAAATGCGGCCCTTGAGCGCCTTCGTGCTCGTAACCAGGAAAAGGAAGGCGACAAAGACGGGTCTGCCAAAGAAGCCGCGTTCCTGTGGAGGAGTGAAGCCGGTTGGTTCAGGGCTTTGCAGATCCTTGAGGAGCGCTACGGAGACCAGTATGATGTCAGCGTCATGGACGAAGCCTGGTGGAAAGCCCACGTGAAAGACCAGAAGTCGAAGCTAGATGTGACGTGTCGCCACTGCGGCCATCGCTCGCGCAGCACGTGGGTGCAAGGCCTGCAGCAAGGCACAGCTCCCGGCTGTTTCTGCAATGGCGGCGTGCCTTGGTCCAGTCCGGCAGGGCGTGCTCGATGTCTGGAGATGATCTGGGAGCGCTACGGTGGCCAGTACGATGTCAGGCGCATGGACGAATCCTGGTGGAAAGCCCACGTGAAGGGTGCTTTCTCGAAGCTGGATGTGACGTGTCGCCACTGCGGCCATCGCTCCCGCAGCACGTGGGTGCAAGGCCTGCAGCAAGGCACAGCTCCCGGCTGTTTCTGCAATGGCGGCGTGCCTTGGTCCAGTCCGGCAGGGCGTGCTCGATGTCTGGAGATGATCTGGGAGCGCTACGGTGGCCAGTACGATGTCAGGCGCATGGACGAAGCCTGGTGGAAAGCCCATGTGAAAGATCAGAGCTCGAAGCTGGATGTGACGTGTCGCCACTGCGGCCATCGCTCCCGCAGCACGTGGGTGTACAGCCTGCAGCAAGGCCGGTCTCCTGCCTGCTTATGCTCAAGAAAGACGGAAGGGAAGCTGATGCGGTGGTTGGCCCAGAACTTCTCGCATCTCAACGTCACCTCGCAGGTCGGGGGCTGCACGAGCCCGGCGTCGAATCGCACTTTGCCTTTCGACTTTGGCCTCAACAAGGACACCATTCTCATCGAGCTGGATGGCAACATTGGGCATTTTGGGCTCGGGTGGGGTGGATCTGAAGATGATGGAGGGGTGCCGCAAAGAGACCACTTCAAGGAGCAGTGGGCGCTGCGGAATGGCAAGACTGTGGTTCGGCTGCTTCAAGAAGATGTGTACGGCGACACCTGGGACTGGAAAGGGTTCTTGGCGTCCGTCGTCCGGCAATCAATTCGGAATTCATGCCCGTGTGTGATCACACAGGAGTCAATGCGTTACAAGAGCGGAATCTACCATGAGCTTCGTGCCCGCGTTCGCTGCCAGGTTGACTACTTCCAATCGGGCAACTCTGCTCCGGTCCCATATCTGACACGCAGGGAAGCCATGGGATCAAAATGGTCTGTAGCCGTAGCCGGGTCGAAGAAGCCCCAAAAAGTCCCAAGCCCCGAACTCTAGACCGGTCAGCAGAAACAACACAAACCTAGTTCGGGTTTGTCGAGAAAGAAAACAGCAGCTTGCAAGAGGAACAATGTCATCGTCCAACACCGGACCTTGAGGTGCTCGTCAGAGACACACTGAACCAGATGAAATGAAGTTTTGCTTCCCAGCTTGAGGACCTCTATAGACTCTCATACCACGTCATAGAATCTACCACGAACTACGATAGTGTTTTCGGAGCGACGACAGAGTTACTGTAGTGTTTTTTGGTGCGGTTCGTACGCGGCCTCTGAAGGGCCGTGCTCCTTCGAATTATGTTACAAAGCCCCGGTCATTTGCAAGGAGATCAGTTCTTGGTCAGGCTCAACTCAGGCGGTGGCCACTTAACTCTCTCAGAGCACCTGGGCTCAGAGCCGTGCGTTTAGGGTTTAGAGTCTGTAGGCCTTAGAGCCCCACCCCGGTTTCAGTGGCGTTGGTGGCAAAGGCGACTTTCAGTCATGTTCATCGAGCCAATGTGGCCGTACCAAAAAGTTACCAGGGTCCCAAGATGAAGAATACCAAGCTGTGCACTCGTGAGTATCGGGCGAGAAGGGCTTTCATCGCCATTTGTTTTTTCGGTTCTGGGGGGGGGGGGGGGGGGGCGAAGCCTCATTCATTCCATTTTATCGGATGATGCGTCCAAAAGACTCAAGGATTTCCGAGGTCACCTGACTCAAGTGGAGAGATCCAGAGATGAGCGCGGCCCCAGCGCAAGGATGACGCACACAAAATAGGCAAGCAGAGCATCATAAGAAAACAAACGAGACCCTGATCCCCTGAACCCCACGACCCCCCTAAACCCCAAGCCCTCAACCTTTCGAGGGGAGAGTGGCATGACAACAGTTCGACTTCGGCATGCCCGGTGATGGGCATGTGGATTTCTAGGGTGCTTGAGTCTGAGAGCATCTAGTGTAATCCTGGGTATCATGGTGAAACAGCATGCTGCTCAGCAAGGGTAAAAACCCTCAACCTCAAACCCTAGACCTTCAACCCAGGTAGCCGCACCCCTTGGCGGCTCTTGGTCTGTCGACGCCGAAGTGGTGCCAAGGCGGCGGCACTTGGGGTTCAGGGTGTTTTTTTGTTTTTGAATCTTGGGCTTAAGGGGTTCGGGCTCGGGGTATGGGCGAGGGTTTTTGTGCTTTAGGTTTTTTTGAGGGGGGTGCAGGGCTGTTAAGGCGGTCGGATTCAGGCTTGGGGTTTTAGGGGTTTAGGGTTTAGGGCTTAGCTGGCACCTGAAAAAAATTCCAGTTTCAAAATGGTTTTGGTGGCGGGGCTCCTGGTTTCCACAAAGCCATCCACTTCTCTGGCCAGGGTTTAGGGTTTCGGGTTCAGGGTTTAAGGTGTGTAATATAGAGCTTCATCTCATCGTTGCATGCAGTTGTGGTGCCAGGCTGCCAGGCTAGGCACATGGCAAAACGACCGTAACCCCAATACTATAGGCCTCCGTTTGTTTTTTCATGGTTTTGAAGGGATCCGAGAACAGTGAGCCTAAACCGTCCTACATGCTCCTAAACTGCCCTCACACACTGACACTCTAAAACACTAAGCCTTTATCTACACTAAACTACCCTAAGCCGTAAGCCCTAAACACTAAACGCTAAGGAGTGAGCGACTAAACCCTAAGCGCAACACCGACCCTCTAAGCACTGTAAGGCTCTAGCCTAAACGCGAAACCCCCCAAACCCTAAGCCGGAACCCCTTTTAGGGTTTAGGGTTTAGGGTTTATAGGGTTTAGGGTTTAGGTTTTAGGGGCTCTAACTCTAAGCCGGGCGCAGGCTGGGAGCCTTCTGCACGTCTCAAGAAGAGATCCTGCGAAGCGCGGCCTGCACCCCGCGATTTCTAAGTTTAGGGTTTAGGGTTTATAGGGTTTAGGGTTTAGGGTTTAGGGTTTAGGGTTTAGGGTTTAGGGTTTAGGGTTTAGGGTTTAGGGTTTAGGGTTTAGGGCTATAGGCCAGGAAGAGGCTTCAAGTCTGCGAGCACCTTTTGCATGACATCTTCTGGTCCCACATGAACCTCAAAAATTGGGGTCATATACCCTATGAAGCCATAAACCCGTTTAGGTCTCCAAGGATCTCGTGAGCTTTGCACAAAGTGACCTCTCCGAGGATAGCTTCAAATCGTCCCCATGGACGTCCTGTCTAGTGTTTAGCTGATCCTTTCCCTGGGGGTCCTCGTTCCTCTGCATCGTGGGGGTTCTATAGGAGCCCTTCATCAACCGAACTAAGCCAAAATTAAGGGAGCCCTTTACGTCTCCTAAACCCTAAACCCCAAACCCTAAACCCCAAACCCTAGACCCCAAACCCTAAACCCCAAACCCTAAGCCCTAAACCCCAAACCCTAAACCCTAAACACCAGGAATGCCGGGGGAGCCCATCAGTGGTTCATGGGTTCATGGGTCGTCTGTTCGAAGTCACCCCCTCCAAAAAAGGGCTTTCTTGGCCTTTCTCGGCATTATCCTCAGTCCGTGGTGCAAAAGGGTAGCTTGAAGGGGCCCTGGGGCATGCACAGGCTTCCTGAGTGCGGTTGAGTTTCAAAAAAGGGGTTCTGTGTTTAGGGTTTAGGGTTCTAAGCAGTTAAGGGAGTTGGCGAGTCCAGAAACAAACTTCTTTTAGGAATTGGGAAGTTGGAGCTAGAAGGAATTCGGGAGGCTTTTGCTTTTTGCCTCATGATTCGCATAGCCCAAGTCGCAGAGGGGAGGGGGGGGGAGGGGGCGAGAAACCCAAAGCCTAAACCCTAAACCCTAAACCCTAAACCCTCTATAATCCTAATACTTTCACAGGGCTTCGAGGATCCCCCAGGTAATCCTTACCGCGAAGCCGTGCTTGATGGCTTGGCGCTTTGTGGCCGCGACTGGGCGGCTGATGGCTCCACCAAAAGGGTCGGAGCGCCTGGAAGGTGGCGTGTTTTTTTGGGTAGGGTTTAGGGTTTAGGGTTTAGGGTTTAGGGTTTAGGGTTTAGGGTTTAGGGTTTAGGGTTTAGGGTTTAGGGTTTAGGGTTTAGGGTTTAGGGTTGAGGGGTTAGGGTTTAGGGTTTAGGGTTTAGGGTTTAGGGTTTAGGGTTTAGGGTTTAGGGTTTAGGGTTTAGGGTTTAGGGTTTAGGGTTTAGGGTTTAGGGTTTAGGGTTTAGGGTTTAGGGTTTAGGGTTTAGGGAGGGGGTGCAGGGTTTCAAGGTGTACCTTGAAATCCCAAAACCTACAAAAGAGTACGTTACAGGGGGTTTATAACAGTACTCACCGACAAAAAATGGTAACTTCCCCCTGGTGCTTTAGCCAGGTTCGGTAGCGTATGCTTAGATGTGCCGAGATAAGCTGGCCGTAATCCCTACATCCTGCACCTTCACCGTGAACCTTTAGTCCTTGAACCTTAATCCCAAAATCCTAGACACCTTAACCCTAAACCCAGATGCCAGCCAGCGGCCTAGATTCCTAAACCTCAATCTCCCTGAAGCACAACCGCAAAGGCCTAGCTCAATTCAACTCCTGTCTCTTCCGGGCTCGCTCAGCAGTCGGAGTGGAGTAAGGACAGCTTCGCTCTGCTGAAAAAGACGGGGCGGCCGGGAGGGGAGGGGGAGGGGGGGAGGGAGGTGGGGGGGGAGGTAGGGTGGCATTGAGACTCTCCACAAGCCCAAGTCACTGAACCTTGAAGGTCAATTCATAGGGATCTTGTCGGTGGTTCTGTTCAGTGGGGCTATACTTACTGACACTCGAGTGCGATGCTTGGGGTTTAGGGCATCACACAACTAAGTCGGCCCCGAAGTGGTTGGACCCGTACGAGGGGTCCTTTCCTCTCATATAGGCACATGGAGCTCTTCAGGTTTATCTTACGAGGTCGGCAAGGTGGAATGAATAGGGGGTGACAAAAGAAGGTGCCTACTTCCCACGATTAAGAGCCAGTGCAGTCAGTCATATCCTCAAGCCTAAACCCTAAGCCCTAAACCCTAAACTTATAAACCCTGAATCCTGAATCCTAAACCCCAAACCCTAAACCCTAGACCCTAAGCTCAACCCTAAACCTTACCCACCCATGCCTGACATTCTCGGCCCGAGACTGAAAGCGCTCAGTCCCTTTGCCTTCAACCAGGCCTGGCCTTTTTTGGGGACCAAATGAGGGTTGGCGGTTCTTCTGGGTGCTTCCCGGCCACTAACACTAAAGTAACTCCATCCCCCACCTACAGTTTATGGGTATACAACCTAATTAAGGTCAGTTACTACTAAACTGTAAGTAAAGAGAGTCTCAGGGAAGTCAAGGATGGGCTTGAACCCGCAGGCTGCGATGACCACGATGAGCCAACCGCCTCCCCCGACCCTGTGCATCCTAGGAAAAGCTTTGTTGGGTTGTTGGGTATAGATAACTTAGTAGTGAGTGCACTTAATGCTTTTTGGGACACTATAATCCCCTGTACAGCCTGAAAGTGTGCACTTTTTTTGGGGGGATTCTGAACTCAGCATCTAAGATAACGGTCAGTGGCAACTTCAAGCAGTCTCTTGCATGCCTCAAGAGCAGCCAAGGAACGTGGTGGTGGCCCAGCCAGCGGCCACTTCCAACTCGGGTTCCTCAGTGGCAGAGTGGATTCCTCTACGATTTCCCTACATAATCTCCTGAAGCAGCCCTATGCATACATATATATATATATATCTATTTATTTATTTATCTATTTAGTTTACTTATATATATATATATATATATTTATTTATTTATTTATATTTCTTTATTTAATATATTCATTTATGTATTTATATTTATTTCTATATATATATATATATATATTTGTTTTCATATTTATATTCATATTTTGTATTCATTCATTTTTATACATGTATTTATATTTTTGTCCTATATAGCAAAACTCCCCTGCAGTAGTGCCTATATACTGTTCTATGCTATATACAGATTCCCTCCCCCCCACTGCCCCTTCTTGAGCACCTGCAGGTTCGCCATCTGTGGCTGCGACGGTGGGATGTGCGGCAGCTTTGCTACGGGTTGTTCAATAGCTCGGCTGATCAACACCACCCCCAAACCCACCTTGCCATATCGGTTCTTGTTTGCAATCTACACTAAACACCCCAAACCTAAAAAACCCAGAACCCTAAAAACCCTAAAACCCTAACCCTAAAAACCCGAAAACCCCCTCTCCCAAATGACTTCCATAGGCCACCCGCCAAAAAGCAACGGGGTTGGCTGCGGCGCGCGAAGTCAGGGGCTTTGGATACAACCACGAGCCTTTTGAGAGGCCCTAGCATGTGGTCTCTCAGTAGCCTCATTTAGGAAAGCGCTTCAGGCATCCTCAAGCCGGCTCTCCAATGTGAAGCTTGCCCTTAGAAGTCTGTGCGACATCTGGAAAATGAGAGACTCTGAGCCCTAAACCCTAAACCCAAGGCCCTAACCCCTCAAATGTAGTTGGCCCGCTGTTGGGAGAGACACTCCCTCAGCCCTCTACACCTACCGCAACAGGGAGTAACCCCCCCCCTGTAAACCCTGCAAACCCTAAACCCTAAAAGCCCTAAGCTCTAAACCCTCAACCCTAAACCCTAAAAAAACCCCAAACCTTATAGACCCTGAATCCTGAATCCTGAATCCTAAACCTTGAACCCTAAATACCTAAATGCCCTGAACCCTTAAAACCCCAAACCCTAGCCCTAAACCCTAAACCCTAAACCCTAAACCCTAAATGCCCTAAACCCTTAAAACCCCAAACAGTGAGGTGCTCGGCATGATGGTTCTGGGCCCAGTCGGGGCCGTCATCGGCGGAACCCTGGGAGCGGCAGCCACGCCGGGAGCTGAGCTCCCCCGGTTTTGGGGGGTTTAGGGTTTAGGGTTTAGGGTTTAGGGTTTAGGGTTTGGGGTTTGGGGTTTGGGGTTTGGGATTTAGGGGTTCAGGGTGTTTAGGGTTTAGGTTTGGGGGTTTATCTAGGGCTTGCAGGGTGTTTAGGGCTAGCAGAGTTTAGGCACACCGTGGGTTGACCTTGAGAGGCCAAAGAGCTGAGAGGTTGGTTGGCGATA